AACTCTACATATGAATAGAAAATTTGTTTAGTTATGATAAGATCTCTTATTGTTTATAAGGACTCTTACTTTAATATCGTAAGTAATTGTTATTCATCACTTTAATTTTCGCTACAAAAAAACAGTAAAATAACGATGGATAATTCTATCACTATTTTAGTAAATTCCGTCTCTAAATTGACTTATAGACGAGATATGTTATCGGAAAAATTCTATCGCTAAAACGTTTGTCCTTATCATCTGCTACAAAATGAAAAATGTCCATCACTAATTTAGCTACGGAGTATCGGTCGCTAAATTGACACCAAAACTGTCATCTTTCCACCATATAATACATCATAATTTAGTTACAAATGCATCTTAAATCCATCGCTAAGTAACAACCAAAAATTCTTCACAATTATCCAATACTAATCTTGGTCGCTATTTCGTCACTAATCCGTCATAAACTAATGAAAGTTTTTTTTCGTTGCTTTTTTTTACTAGAAATTATTTTTTATCTTCATTTTCATCGCCAATCGAGTCCTTCTACTTTTAAAAAAAATTATTTTTATTTTATTTTAAAAATTTTAATATTCTTAGTAGTAATTAACAATTAAAACAAACAACTTATTATAAAAATTAATTTTTTATTAAACTTAAATTAAAATTCATATTAAAAAAATTATTCGTCGGTATGTAAGAAAAATAGTAAAAATATAAAAGAAAATGTAAAAGTCACTCCCTATCATGATCATCTAATCCCCTTCATCTTCTTAGGGCTTCGTTGTGAGGGACAATGGAGTCTTGGGGCTTGCTTGGGAGGGACGGTGGAGTCTCGGCCGGGGAGGGGTTGGTAGGCAAAAATGACGTATATGCCAACCTATATAACACTACTATAATCAATGAAATGCGAGTCTTCATTTTACGGATCTTTATCTCGCTCTTGCATGATAATGTTATTCCGCTCGTCTAACCTCACCTAAATTCCCCTCATCCTCTTACAGTGCTGGTCGGGAGTCGATCACTAGCATTGCCTTTAAGGAATTGTGATGTTAGAAAGGATGAGCTAGCACCAATTGAATGGGATAAATACTACGATGCCTCGACTCGATCTCATAAACCTTCTTCTTCTCCCCTCTTACTGACTTCGAAATATATGGTGTCCATGTCGACATGTGGCTCCTCAATTCTAACTTTTCACTACTTCCTAACGACTTCTTGTATCAACTCCTTTACGTGCTCCTGCGTATCAAAATAATTATAATGTTAAAAATCAAAATAATTATAATGTTTAAAAAATAGATTATATTTCCATATGTATAGTTTACAAATTAAAAACACTTATCATTGTTGTCTAAGCACTGTAAATTGATGAAAGTCCTATCTCTCTGCTTGTAAATGGTTTCAAACAACTCTAAATCGATAGGCTCATGTCCCAATTTGACGACTGAAAAAATATACACAAATAATATGAGCTAAAAATATTAATTTCTTAAACATTGAATAATATAGGATATAATTTACCCAAGTGGTGGGCGCGCTCGGAACAAGAGATGGACCTCCATGCATGCCCGAATAGGCCTAAATCAACACCATAGGTTTCCAACATCCGGTTACGTTGATTCCTACTACGAATGTATCTAACAATCAAGTATAGCAAAATCTCACTTTCATGAATCTCACCTCGTCCGTCTAATAAAAAAAGGTCTTTCATAATTCGTACCATACATATTGACGAAGTCGAGTAGCGCTTCCTAGCCAAAACCTCCCAAGCATTTTTAGCCTATGCCTCCATGGTCGGATCCTAGTAAAAATGCTTCAATATGAATTAAAAAAATTAATATTGGTTCATTTCATGTTAAATTAATGTTTTAAATGTAATTCAAATAAACAAGTAACAAGTTATCTTAAACTCATTATAATAAAACTATTTTTTCTACTCCGAGATGAACTTTCACTCTAAGCCACCGACGTCTAACCGTTCCTTAATAATCATGGTTATCCTTCTAAAGCAATGTCTTTAACACGAATGAAAACTATCGAATACTAAAAAAAAAAAACATATAGTAATTATTGAAATGATATATTAAAATAAAAAAATAATTATAATCTTTTAAGTAAATTACTTATCGACTATTAACAATCGAAACCTAATATCGAATATCAAAGCCTTAGGAGCTCCTTGGATCGAAAGATACATCAACAAATGAGGGACCCTCATGGGTGATCGGGGAGCCTATATGCCTAAGGGAATGACTGTTAAGAGAAACGTCGAGCCGGTATAGAAGTTTTGGCTCCGAGGAAGAATAAAATGAACGTCCCACGTTATAGGACCCACATAAAGTGCCTAAAGAGGGAGATCCACGTCCGATGTTGGATGAAGAACTATGCATGTTATCATTAGTCAAGGATGCACGTCCACGACCGTTAGATCGTGATCCCTAAGTGTGTATGAGAGGTCGATGTGAACCATGTGTTATAGTTGAATAATATCACCAAAGACAATTAAAAAAAATACAAAAAAAAATAAATTATCAATTGTGAGCATAAAAAAAAATAAAAATTGGAAGAGTCTCTTGAAAATTGAACATTTTCTAATTACTTGATACACAACTCGCTTAAAATACAACATAACCCAAATATACATCCAATATTTTGAAAATATATAAAAGTCAATATAATAAACTAAAAAAAATAAACTAACAAAAAATACAACATTTCTTACTAATATAACAAATACAACATTTATTAAATCTCAAACTCGTCATTTCGGCTCCATTGCGAGTATTGAACCAACATTATTTCTCCTCAATTCTTAAGATCTTAGACTTCTCGTGTTCGATACGCTACGACGTATCTTAATACACTTCAACAATTACAAAATAAATAATTAAACTATATAACTCCAATTCAAACAAAATTTGAAATAAATTATATTTTAAATACACTTAACGATTAATAAAAATTAATCTAATTACATTTAAAAAAACTATTAGTTAACCTAACAATAAAATTAAAATGTAACAAATTATTATTGTATAAGTTAATTTAAATATTCTTTTATCTAAGAAAAATAGTTAAAGAAGTAACATATTGCTACTATTGTGTTTTAGTTTTCTTTAATCTAATTTAATATTTTAGATAAAAAGTAGTTCACTTACTAAAATATTATTACTATTGTGTTTTGGTTATCTTGAACATAATTTAATATTTTACAAAATTTTAATTTTGTCGATTTGATTGGTAATTAGTTTTAAAAATATTATTAGATGGTAAGTAGGAACTCGAGTTTTGTAATTTTTTTTTTTGAAAAAACATGTACATTAAAATTAAAATGTAACAAAATAAACCTTATTAAATTAACTTTAATAAAAAACAACACAATTAATCAAAATTGACCAAATTCATTTAATACTAATTCAAATTAACACTAATTAATCAATATTAACATACTTATTTATTTAACACATAATTAATCAAATTAACCTACATCAATTAGCACTAATTCATATTAATTAATCAAATTAATAAATTCAAATTAACATAATTCATCAAAACCTAATTTAAATTAACCTAATTAATCAACTAACAACTAAATTAATTTAAACCTAATTTAAATTCAAATTAACATAATACAATTCATCCTAATTAAATTAACTTAATTAATCAACCAATAACTATTTTAAAGTAACCTAATTAATCAAATAATGACTAATTTAAATTAACCTAACTCAATTAACACTGATTTAGATTAATTGATTAAATTAAAAAAAAAAACTTAACAACTAACAACTACCAAAAACAACAAATTAACTAATTAATCAAAACTAACTTAACAAATAATACAAATAGTTAATGGGTATGAAAAAAAAAGGAGAGAGAGAGAGAGAGGGAGGGAGGGAGGGAGAACTAACAATGGGGGAAGCGAGAGAAAGGGATTGAACGGGGTGATACACTTGATTTTTAGAGAGAGTAGAGTGTTGCATCGGTTGGAGAATGCTAGGGAGGAAGTGGAGTCACCTTGGGTGGTGGTTTTGGGGTTTGGCGGTCGACGACGACGAAAGGAGGAGAGGAGGAGAGGAAAAGAGAAAAAGAAAATGGGTTAGAAAAAGAGTTTTTGTCGATTTAAAGATTAAAAAATTAGCGACATATGAGATTTTGTTGCTAATTGGAGAGGGATTAAAGAGTCTATCACCAATACGAATTTAAATCCATCGTTTTATTTTTTGAGATTTTATGAAGTGAGGGAAATAAGATATTTAGGGATTGAATACGCGATTTCGTCGCTAATTAGCGAGAGATTTAAGTGTCCGTTATTAATTTAAATTTTAAACTACCGTTTTATTTTTTTGGATTTTCAAAGATGAGAATTAGCTATGAAATAGCAATTTCGTTGCTAATTTCCCTTACAAATGTGTTGCTATTCCATCGTTAGATTAGGTGCATGTTTTTCCCACGCTAGTTAGCGACGGAACTCTATCCATTGTTAACTATTCATTACAATGCCGTTTTTAAACTTATTGATCGTCATTCTATCACGAAATCATCACTATTTTACTAATTTTTGTCATTAATCCATAATTTTTTGTGGTGTTTGTTTTGACTATTATTTTATTACTTCTGCAAATAGATCATAGGTTGTTTGTATTTGAAAATAGTTTCTTCGAATTTTTAGTGAACCGTTGGAAGGGCTTGCCTGCAAGCTTAATCCACCTGCATCGTTCTGGTACATGTAATTTACGTGCGTACATTTTAATTATCTAGGAATGATGATGAACTGATGGTTAATAGAATAGAGACACATGCATAGCTAGAGCTAGCTGAAGGAAGGAAGGAAGGAAGGAATTAATACAACGGAGAACACACAAAAACACGTAGTCTACGTCACTTGTGCTCTTTTAGCTCGGCGATTAGACGAGACCTACCATGAAAAACAACACTAATTAATACAATAAAATAAAATATAAACCCTACGGGCTATATCGTAGTACTAGCTAGTGTATATCCAGTCATTCAACATGGCAAAACAATTCTCTAAATTTTGCCCTCTGTGCATCATGAAGAATACTGTCTCTTGTCAGTCAACAGCGAGGGAAGAAATAGAGAGAGCAGCCAACAAAACGTAACATTCATTGCGATCCAAGCTGATCTTGCAAAATCCTTTTATATTCTCTCAAAATTATTTTGTAAAAGTTTTTTCGAGGCAAAGCTAGGTAATAAAATTTTATCTCCCGCACAGGCCAAAAAGTACCCGGCGGCCTCGAAGCTAGTTCCGGTTCCTGGACCTAGATATACTCTATTTATTGACCTTGGCAAAAGGTATACTACCTAAAAAAAAAAAAAAGATTTTTGTTTGGCAAAGCTGTTTTGCTGCCAAAAGATCAGATTTCAGATGGGTAATAAATATGGGTTTTGTATTTATGTGAAATTGGTGAACTCTCTCTTCCCTCTGATCTTTCTCTTTTGAATCATTCCATTTGTGCAGGAAATTCCATCATTCTCTTCCTCTGCCATCATCCGTCATTATCATAAGGCACCAGTGGCAACGAAAACAAGGGCTCCTATGTCTGCACAGGCCCCACTATATACGCCCCTCTGCGGTTTCTGCCCTTTTGCATGTTCCTTGTTCCAACATCTTATTTTATTTTGTCTTTTAATGTGCTTTTTACAATCATATTTCATTTTTAATTGTTGTCAATAGGGCCAGCTTGGGTGCTCTGATAACATTTATCATTTATGATTTTCGTCCGTACAGCTACTTTACATAACTTTATTTTGTTTGTTTGCTTTTTTTATTTAAAAAAAATTTTATGAAGGCTTTATTTATTAAGTAAGAAAATGTCAATTGAGCGACCTTTTTCAATTTTAAAAGATGCACTAATATTAGAATAGGAATTGGAACGGAATAGCAACATATATATATATATATATATATATATATATATATATATATATATATATATATATATATATCACCTTGTAATTGAGTAATATTTTTGCATAAATAAAAATGATCATTTCTCAAATATAAATCCCATCTTAGACAATTCAGTTCTAGCTAACAAAATCCAATCACATTCATCAAAGAAAAAAATCTCAATTATTAGTTTGCAAAATAAAATGTAATCAAGAATAAAATGTAAACTAATAACTTGATTACATTTTATTTTGCAAACTAATAATTGAGATTCCCCTTTTTTATTTATTTATTTATGGGGTAAATTTTAGTTCCTTTTTTTTTCTTTGAAAAAGAAATGCGTGTAATCAAATGATTGATTTATCAACTCATAATATTGCTTCACGTACCCCATATTTTTTTATTTTTCCTGCACAAATCAATGAAAAATCGAAGTTATGCTTCAAAGAAAAGTTACCTTTCAGGAGAAGTGCTGTGCAGTACCACGGTTGACTCAGACACAATAATAAAAATCAAAGTTAAGGATCAAAATACAAGAAGAAAATAATAATAATAATCGATAATAATTTGATATTGCATATTTCCTGATGATAAGATCATGTTGTCAATTAAAAACTACAAATTTTGACTTTTATAATAAAATCATATCTTCTACATATGACACGAAGACACGAATTTTTTTTTCATAATTAGTTGTATTTTTTTATAATATTATATTTTTGGATTCTCAAGATATTTTAAACTTAAAAATTTATATTAATCCTTTATTGTTTAGACGCGTAAGATAAGATAAATATAGCTATACAGTTTTTTTGCATAAAAAAAAAATCAAATTTGAGATTATTTTTTCAGGGATTAGAGTTTTTTTTTTAAAAAAAAATAGCCTTTCGGGGTTTGTAATATTATATGTACAATTATACATTCGTTTTCTAAAAATCGGTATCTCGTCAAATTTTATATGTATGAAATAAGAGATAAAATAGCGAACTTTATCTAATAATCTGAATAAGCTTTTACTATATTTGAACAAATTTTTACAGAAAGTATAGACCATTAGTTAACAGATCCATATTTTACCTGTTAAGAGAGAAACAATACCACATCGAAGTTGAACCCATATCTCAATGTCGCCGGACAAAACGACACGTAACAGGCTACCCAACGTAACGATGTGCCAGTAGGAGGACACGTGACCGAATGTTCAGTCCTACTACTGTTTTTTACTCGTTTAAGCAATTTAAATTGCACCGTGACGCTTTTGATTATTATACTGCTCCTTTGAATACGATACTACGGCTACGTATTGACGCCAGCCATTACCTTGACATGACGCGCCAGCTCCAGCCTCAGCCTCAGCTTGACCGCTTCTTCATCGATGGGATTATGGTTCACAAGAGTATCTCAAGTCAAACAAGAAAGCTAGCTTTACTAGTGAATTAGAATTCTTACAAGCCTGAAATAGGGTTGGAATTTCTTAAGTTGTCTATATCAATTTTAATAATTTTTTCTCTTACATAGCTTATAAAAGGTGATTTTTAATATTAATCATAATTCAAATTTTATTTTTCATAAATAAATTTAAAGTAAGTTAATAAAAAAATACTTAATGAATTTTGACATGACCTAACATAACTCTAAGAAAAAAAGAAAAAGAAAAACCTAAACCAATGAACATCCTGTCAGAAATTTTATATAATAAACATGGAATTATAATTAATGATGAGATAAACTAATTTGATCACAATACAAAAGAATTGAATTGAATATGGTGAATTGTAATTGATTAAAATGATTTTAAATTTAATTTTTTTATTTATATAAAATATTTTTAAATAATTATTTTTGTCTTGTGTGTCTAACTTGTACATCTTGTAGAATGAATTTAAATTTAATTGTGGGGTTGTATGGAGGATTAAAAAAAAAACTAATTTGACCACAGAATTGGGTAAATGCGCAAAGCAGCCAAGCCAGCCTAACGCCACCCTAGTCATATCACATCACAAAACCTCACCAGCCCAACTTCTACTAACATCTCTAGACCTGGCACATAAAATCTTGTTCATGCTCCAAGTCAGTCTGAAAGTAAACGCCTCTTGTTAGAGCAGAGCGTTAGATAACGCGCTTCATGGAGAGGGTAGGGGATAGCATTTGCAGGTAGTTGCAGGAGCTTGACAAAAGCAACCAAAAAGAATTAATAAATGCGCGTGGGAGTACGTATAAAGGCGCGTATCCCAAAGATACAAGAGTAGTCGTAATGATAGTTCCCTTTGAGTCGTCAGATAGAAAATATGGATATTCTTTTAAACTCAGAGAGGTCATTTTGTACCCTCTGCTTGCTGACGCTGAAGCAGCTACTCATACTAGTAAATGCCCTTTGTCTTGCCAGGCCCATCCACAAAAAAATTTACATATTTTTTCTTCTTTTTTTTTTAAAAAAAAACTCTTTACGAGAAGGAAGGAATAACTAATGATTAATTTATTTGCTATACATTTTTTTCTTTTTCATTAAATGTATTGTGTGTGATTTATCACGATAATAATGATGATTGAAAAAAATTATATAATGTTATTATAATTGTATTAAGTAAAAATCATAAAAATTAAAATAAATGTTTGCATCCTGCAACATTTTTTTCCCCATTCTATGTCGGTCTCATATATAACTGACCCTCTAACGGCAAGGATAATAATAAAAAAAAGGCAGCTAAAAATAATAATAATAATATTTAAACGTTCAGAGCTATAAAAGGGAAAATTTTGATTATCTTTTTATTGTTTATAAATGACATAATGACCAAATTATAGTCACTAAAATAGACTAAATAATGAAGGTATTTTTTGTTTAATAAATCAAATATTTTGATAATTTATATGTATAGTTATGGATTACGAGTTAATTTGATCCAATGATTGTTTTTACTATTTATTTTAGTTATTATTATGATTAAAGCTATGGATGTGTTCCATAATGAGTACGATTTATCGTGGTTTTAATAAAGGAAAAAAAAAAGAATAATCAGAAGCCATTTCATGAATCCAAAGCTCCATTTTTCGCTTCTCAATTTACCTGTTGGACAATTTAATTTCAAAACACCTTTTAAAATAGCTTTTAAATTTTTATCAAACGCTTTTGGTTTGGCTTTTCTATATGCAAAGTATCTTTGTTCATTTAATTCAGAAGTAAGCATTTTGGTATGGGTAACCTTCTGGATAAAGGATGTGGAAGGCCGGATCCCACTCAGATGATCGCTCTATTGATATGTTCTAGTAACCTTTTCTCTACCTTGGGCTTTTACACTTAATTTATTTTTTTAATCTTTCAATTTATTTGATTGAATTCTTCTATTATTTTGTTTTTATTCTATCTGCATATGTTATGTAATATTTATGATGTGGTCCCTTCGTAGTGTTTGAGAGGAGAAATGCGACATTTGTTATGCAAGTTTTCAAATGTGTTTAATAACTATGATTTTTAAAAGTATGATTTAGTATTGGTTTAATGTTTCAGAAAAATCATGATCTATATATTTTTTAATTACTTTAGTTCGTTGTTTAAAAATATATAGAAAAGTCACCAATTAAATTTTCAATAACAATTCTAACACATATATGATTTTTCGACTAAAATTCAAAATAATATTGATATGACATTCTACATAAACATGACATGTGGACTTTAGCAAGCCACATATGATCCACGTAAACAGTGATATAAAAAATCAATTACATGGATCTTGTATGGTTTGCTAAAATCCACATGACATGCTTACATGGATCTTACGTGGCTTGTTAAAGTTTACATGTCATGCTTCGTCACATAACATGTTACCGTCGTCTAGAATTTTGATTGAAAAATCATATCGATATTAGTATTTTTATCGAAAGCTTAATTGATGAATTTTTTATATAATTTTTAAAAAACAAGTTAAAATCATTAAAATATATATAATTCATAATTTTTTGAAACATTAAGCCTTTAGTATTCGGCTGAAAGAAAAAATTTATTATATATACATCGCATTTCAAATTCCTCAAATTTCAGATAGGATCATATTTCTAGTAGCGCGGTGGGTCAATGGTGAGGGGATGTGGCCTCCTCAAAATTTTCAAAAAATCATTGAGTCCCTAACATTTAGACATTCTTTCATATTAGACCCTAAAAAATCACTACTAGGCAACCCCAGATTTTTAAAAATGTTTCATAACATACCTACAACCTTGTGACGTTTCTAACTTAGCCTCTCAACAATTTTATCCATTCTCTGCAACTGGTTTCTAACTTATGAGCAATGTACTGTCATCATAAGTAAGCATTATTTGATTTAAACGAAATTTTTTTAATCAAAATATTAATTTTGTTTGGTTTTTAATTCAATTTTAAAAAAAAAATTTAAAATTTTTTTTGTTTGGTTTAAATTGAAATTTGATTTTTAAGTTTTAAAATAATACAAATAAATTTAAAAAATTCAATACCTTGATGTTATTATAGATATATGATAATTATGCATTTCTATTTTAAAAAAATGATTTAAATTGAAAAAATTGAAATCAAAAATCAAATTAGGGTTCAGTTTTAGTTTTGGTTTCGGTAGGTGTGATTAACCAAAAACCATATGTTTATCTCTAACTGTTGTGACATATGTGAAATCTCAAAATAAAATTAAAATTTTTTACCTTACCAAACATAAAACTACTTTACATGTCCAATTTTTTATTTTATTATTATTATTTTTTTTTAACATCTATGTCTCAAAAACACTTTTTTTTGTGCAGCTTAATAACCATTAAAATTTCCCTTAAAATAAAAATAAAAGACAACGGCGATCCCACGTGCTAACACGTGAAATGGTGATTAACAGTGTTTGTAGTTGAAAAGGAGCATGTCTGATTTTCTCTAGTCGGCACCGTCTCTACAAATTATTTGCGCCCCAAGCTCATAAATCAAATGTTTTGATAATTTATATATATAGTTATCGATTACGAGTTAATTTGATCCAATGATTGTTTTTAATATTTATTTTACTTATTATTATGATTATAGCTATAGATGTGTTCCATAATGATTATGATTTATCATGGTTTTAATAAAGAAAAAATAATAATCAAAAGTCATTTCATTACTCCAAAGCTCCATTTTTTGCTTCTCAATTTACCTGTTGGACAATTTAATTTCAAAACAACTTTCAAATTTTTATCAAACACTTTTGGTTTGGCTTTTTCTATATGCAAAGCATCGTTGTTCGTTTAATTAAGAAGGAAGTGTTTTGGAAGAAATTTTATAATTCTCAAAGAGCAACTAATAGTAACTAATAACATGTTGTTACACTATAGATTCACTTTTAAGAGAGAGATAGACACATCAAAAGGAGAAAGAATTACATCCGAATCCACAAAAAGTGATAAGAATATTAAATTAAAAAAATTGAGGACCTTGGCAATCTTTTTTTAAGAGTAAATAATAGCATGTACGGTCGTTACCCTATAAATCCACTTTTAAGAGAGAGATAGATATACCAAAAGGAGAAAGAATTACATCCGGATCAACCAAAAGTGATAAGAACATTAAATTAAAAAAAATTTAAGGAACTTGGAAATCTTCATATCACTTTTGGTGGATCCGAATATAATTCTCTTTTTTTTTGTGTCTATCTCTATTTTTAAAATAGGTTTATGGAGTAATTACTATACATATCATTAATTATTCATTGAGTGTTATAAATTTTCTTAATGTTTTGGTGTGGGTCCTCTTCTATAAAGGACGTGGAAGGCCGAATCCCACATAGATGACCACTCTATTGATATGTTCTAGTAAACTTTTATCTGTCTTCGACTTTTACACCTAATTTGTCTTTTTAATCTTTAAATTTGTTTGATTGAATTCTTCTATTATTTTGTTTTTATTCTATCTAAATATGTTATGTAATATTTATGATTTGTCTATTTGCGGTGTTTGAGAGGAGAAATGGGGCATTTATTTTGTAAATTTTCAAATGTGTTTCGAAATATGAATTTTAAAAATATAATTTAGTATTGGCTTAATGTTTGAAAAAATCATGAACTATATATTTTTTAAATAATTTTAGCTCATTTTTTAAAAATTATATAGAAATGTCACTAACTAAACTTTCGATAAGCATGACACGAAAATATTAACATCGACGTGACAATCCACGTAAACATGACACATGGACTCTACTAAGTCATGTAGGATCCATGTAAACAATGATGTGGAAAAATCAATTACATTTTACATGGATCTTAAGTGAGTTAATAAAGTCCATGTGTCATTTTTATATAGATCCTACGTGATTTGCTAAAGTCCACATACCATACTTACGTGGATTTTATGTGACTTATTAAAATTCACATTATATGTTTCGTCATCTATCATGTTATTGTTCAAAATTTTAGTTGAAAAATCAGATCAATATTAGTATTGTTATCGAAAGCTTAATTAATAATTTTTTTTATATAATTTTAAAAAATAAATTAAAATCATTAAAATGTGTATAGTTTATAATTTTTTGGAATTAAGCCTTTTAGTATTTGGTTGAAAGTATTATACATATTTGACGTTTCAAATGCCTCTCATTTCAGATAGGGTCGTATTTCTAGGAGGGCGGTGGCTCAAGGGTCAGGGGATGTGGTCTCCTCAAAATTTTCAAAAAATCATTCAGTCCCTAACATTTAGACATTCTTTCCTATTATACCCTAAAAAATAATTACTAGGCAACCCTAACGTTTTTAAAATGTTTCATAACATACCTAAAACCTTTTGACGTTTCTTACTTAGCCCCTCAACAATTCAATCATTTCTCTGCAATTGGTTTCTAAATCATGAGCAATGTAGTGTCATTAAAACTAATCACTACTCAATTTAAACTGAAATTCTTTTAATCGAAATATTAATTTTGTTTGGTTTTAACTCAATTTAAAAAATGATTTCTTTTTTATTATTTGGTTCGATTTAAATTGAAATTTGATTTTTTAAGTTTTAAAATAATACAAATAAATTTAAAAAATTCAATACCTTAATATTATTATAGGTATACGATGAATTGATGGCTTTTTATTTTATTTATGTTATTTTAAAAAAGTGTAATTTTTTTTAAAAATTGATTTAAATAGAAAAAACTGAAATAAAAAATCAAAAATATGATTTTTAAACCGAATAAAAATCCAATTAGGGTTCAGTTTTAGTTTTGGTTTTGGTAGATGTTATTAACCAAAAACCAAATGTTTATCTCTAACTGTTGTGACATGTGAAATCTCAAAACAAAATTAAAATTTTTTACCTTACCAAACATAAAACTACTTTACATGTCCAATTTTGTTTTTTTTTTGAACATCTACGTCTCAAAAACACTTTTTTCGTGCAGCTTAATAACCATTAAAATTTCCCTTAAAATAAAAATAAAAAACAACTGTGATCCCACGTGCTAACACGTGAAATGGTGATTAACAGTGTTTATAGTTGAAAAGCGGTATGTCTGATTTTCTATAGTCGGCACCGTCTCTACAAATTATGTGCGCCCCCTTCAGCTCATCAAGCTAACGTAGAGCGCCCATAAACTACGAAGACCTTTACCAAAAAGAGAATGAAAAATACCACTACGTAAAACCAAAACGTGATCGATTTGATTTTTAAAAGGTTTGAAATTTCTGAAATTCCATATTTGGAACGGAACCCCCTTTTCTCACAATCTCACCGTTGATACCTTGCTGCCGTGTCATCTTTCTGGCAATCACACCGTTTATTTTTTGTGAAGGTAGGCTCCCTCGGTGGCAATAAGAAATAGACGGTGTAGATTTAACCATGTGGCTCCAACTTTTTCACCATTGATTTAGGAGGCAAGATAGTTGACTTTCTTAGAAGGGTTGACTTGAAAAAACTGGATTTTATGAAGCCCCAGCGGTTCACACAGATGACCGTGAGCAAAACCGTCCTTTTAATTCTGGCTTTCACCACTTTCAAGGGGAAGTGAGGGATATTCTCTTTTCTCAAATAAACAAAAAGAAAAAAGGTTTAAGACACGTGTAGGACGACGTAGGTGATTTATGACATAATCGCGGGAATAAATTTGAGTTAAATGATCACAAGTGAGCCTTAAAGACAATAAATCTTAAATTCAAGAAAAAGTAAATAATCAGTTGATACTAGTCATCATGTTCATGCTTCATTTGATTTTTCTGGGATTTAAGTTTTAAAATGCGAAACATGACTATACAGGTATTTCACGAATATTTGCATCTTATAACTACCGTGATTTTAAACTTCCAAATAAATAATAAAAATTTGAATTTTTATGAATTTTTTGGTAAGGAATTTAGATATTTACAACTCTCTTTTTTATTTATTTATGTTTTTGCAATACTATTGAAAATATTCGAATTCAAAAAAATTAAATTGATAGTTTTTTGTATTTCAACAGCATTTTCAATTGCATTTGACATTATTTCGAAATGGGTTCATATAACTGTAAAAAAAAAAAAAAAAAAAAGCTGTGAAGGTGCCACCCCTCTAAATTATAAGTCGTAATAATTTTATTCTCTGGACGATTTATTCTAAAAGCTAGTGATCCTGAACTCAATTTCAGGGTTAAAGAAGAAGAAGAAGAAGAAGAAGCAAGTGCAAGGTGAGATTCTAAAGTTTGGGCTCTAAAAGTCCGCAAAACCCGTGTTGCAGTAAAAACCGTACAAGAAAGAAAAAATAAATACTGTCTTTTCTTTATAGCGAGAAACAAAAGGGCAAAATGGTCTCAAGAAAAAGAGGGTGCCTTTCAATATAATACAGTCAGATGGGCTGTCCCGAAAAAAGACTCTGCTTTCTTTCGGAAAGAGGAAATCAGAATAATAATAATAGTTGACGAGCATTATGTGATCATGACTACGTTGGCGTCTTGTATTGTACAGGACAGAAGAATTTATTTCCTTTCATTTTATTCATTTATTATTCTATTTCTATAATTGTAGTACGTTGGTTTTTTTTTTTTTTTGCACAGAAATTTAATTGCATGGATTGATTCTAAAATACTTTATAAAATTAAAATTTCATAAACTAAAAAAAGATAAAAATAACTTGACCATCCATGATGATGTGATTTTCATACTAAGAATCAAGTGCAGACCTCCATATCACTTATAACAAAAATTTGAGGACTCTCATTGAATATAACTATTATTTTTTGGTTGGATGGTGACGATACTTCTAGAGTATCTTACCTATTAATAGAAATTGTTTTTCCAGGTGATTTTAAAGATATATTTTTATATTGATTTGATGCATTTATAAAAAAATTAATAGTTAAATTCTACTGAATGGCAGCTAAAATTTAAATTTAAATAAAAAAAGGAATAAAACTATTTGAGCTGAAAGGAAATCCGTTCGAATTTCTGAATATAATTATTTTCAAACCAACCTTTGCCCTTGGGGGCTTTTATTATTCTAAAGCAAACATTAGTAGAGAGAGGAAGAAAACAAAGGTCAAAGCGAAGCAGTTGGATGGTGTTGTGCGTATAGAGTTTAGTACTATATATTGGTAGTATTATATAGGTGTAATGATTTTCGGTGAAGATCAGAAACTCGTGATCATCATATCAGATTTCTTTCTCTCTTATTTATTCTAATTCTCTCTCTCTTTCCATGCCTGCTGCAAAAGAGAGGTTTAGAAACAGTACAGAAGCAGGAGCCAGCAGGCAGGTATTATCAGTCCTCCTTGAGGAATTTACAGCCTCGTCTCTTCCTTTTCTCGTGATCCTTATCTCTCTTTCCTAAAACCTCTCTATCTACTTTCTTCGTTAAGGCTCTGCGCTCGTAAGTATTTATATGTGTGCGTAACTTTGTTTTAAGCCTCTGTCCCCTGTGCTTATTGCTCCTTTAAACCTAGACACTCCCAACAAGGTTGAAAGAAAAAGGAAGGAAACATCTCCTTCTGAGAAGACAGACTAAAGGGGGGTGAAAACTGAAAAAGGTGCGGTTTTTTAAGAGAGCCCAGTTGGGGTAACCTTGTTTACAGGAGGAAAGAAACGATCTTTTGGGAAACCCAGTTGGATTTTGCAGAAATGGGTAGTTGTGGGAGGAGTGGAGCTGTGAGGCAATACGTAAGATCAAAGGTGCCTCGTTTGAGATGGACTCCCGAGCTTCATCACTGCTTTGTTCATGCCATTGAGAGGCTTGGTGGCCAATATAGTAAGTGACAGCTTGTTTTTTTGTTGGATTTTTGCTTCCTTATTTGTTATTCTTTTTGGTTCCTTCCTTCTTGGCGCTTATGGTGATCATGTGCTTATTTTGCCTTCTTTTTTTCGCTTCTTTCTATTTTTTTTTCTGTCTCTTCTTTGTAGAGGCTACGCCTAAACTCGTTCTTCAGTTGATGGATGTGAAAGGACTGACTATTTCACATGTGAAAAGCCATCTTCAGGTTGGTCTTCCTGTTCTCCACTACTAGTATGGTTTGGGGTATTTTATTTTTCTTTCTCCTACTCCTTGGGTTCAAATTTCTTGTCTTTTTTTTTTTAATCTGCAGACACCTTTGTTTAACCGGTTTGCTTACATGGGGTTTTCTTTGTTTTGACCAGATGTATAGAAGCATGAGGAGTGACCTGGGCAGACAAGGTATCCAAAGCTTTGTTTCCACCTCTTCGTCTGAATACACATCAATATTCTGGCACTTTATATCTCAATTATCGCCTATAGGCCTATGCATCCGAAAGCTTCCATTTTCTAATCTATAAGTTCTATATTATCCATCATTGTCTCTGTATATACATGCATTAATGGCGGACTCTCTATTAAACTTTCCTGTAGTGGTTCTTATACACTGCTCAAAGTCGAGGGTTGTGAACTTCAGATGTAAACATACATTTGGGAAAGGAGTAGCTGCCTCACTTCATTTATTACCTCTCATTACTGTTGGAGTTTATGCCAAAAGAGTTGAGAACAAAATAAGCGTCGTATCCCTTTCAAATCTTCTAATATTAGCATTTCTGATGAAACTCACAACCTCGCTTGCATCTCACTCCTGCTTTTATTAGTTACAGTCCCCATTTATTTTCCTTTACTTTCTTTTTCCTTTTTTCAATTATAAAAGAACCAAATTTCTTGGACTTGACATCCTTTTATATGCTTTTGGTTTGTGTTGCTGGGTTGGTCTATTTGAACAGATAGGAGCTCCTGCCAACAAAAAAGACAATCTTTTGATGACCATGATGAGTGTGTTGAAGAAGTAAAACCCATTGAAGAATCAGATTCTCACTTGGTGTACAGGCCTCTCTCTTCCAAAAGGTCAGCTTAGCTTTATCTTCGTGTTTTCATACGTAACAAATATAAAAAAGAAAAGTAGGTATAATCATATAGGGTCCAAGAAACAAACAAAAAAAGATTTGCAACATTAAATCTCCTCCTTTCAGCCCTTTACCTTTTCTTCTTTTTTGTTCAAATTCTCTTTTCTATAGGGCCAGAATCGAGACCAGGAGTTCAATATCTGAGGAGAACCTGCAATGCAGCCAAGGAATATGTGAGACAGCCTCAAATCCGTACTCTTTTGATGATTGTATGGGAATAAAGGAGGAGGGTAATGAAGGTGGTTTCAAATGGGAGCAGGCCCATTTTAAGCCTCAATATTCTACAGCCTTCTCTCTTCGACGTGATCTTTATAGCATAAACACTTCTAAACGTGAAGTGGAAGAATCTGATTTCCTCAAGGTACACTTTTTAAACCCCTCTCTCTCACGATTTCTTCTGCCAGCCTTTTGTTGGGGTTGAGTGTAATGTTGGTTTTTGGTTTCATCTTTTTAAGTTTCTGCTAACTCCTGCAATGTGGCCTTCTTTTTAGTTTCCTTAGAGAGTCTATAGATATAGATAGATACATGATGACCCTTATGACTAGTGGTAGGATGGAATATCCGTGCTTTTTTGGGTCAACTTGCGTCATCTTTATCGCTCCAGTGTATTTTCATTTCACAGCTTTAATTTAGGTAAAAAAATTGTTCAGTGGTATCTTCTGCTACTGCAAAGTCTTAAGACTCGTGCAGTTTCTTAAAGGGCCATTTTTATCATCTCCTAATAGACTGGTCTGTATGGTACTTGGCATTAGATTAAAACTGCCCTAGTTAGCCTCTAAATAGTGTAATTGATCTGCAACTAGCACTGGTTGCTTTGATGAGTTCCTTAAAATTTGGCATGGGGAATTTAAAATGGGCTTGTATTCAAACTCCATTTGAATAAAAAAAGGGGTGGGAAATTGGAATATCTTTTATGACCTGAAAAGTAATAAGCAATTTGATTCTCTGTTATGTAACAAAGTGCTTTTGATGTAATCTTGTTGCCACTCAGAAGTCCTTTCGAAATTTTAACTTGTAGGGTTTTCTTTGCTTAGCCCTTGGGTAAAACTTGGAGGGTAATGATCTTACACTAAAGTACTCTTTACATACTGTGGTCCACTGTCACTTTTATAAATTGGGGAAAAAGGAAGGGAATTCAAAATATCTCTTAGTGCACAGGAGAAGCATTAATTCTTAGAGTCAGTACTAGCTGTGGTAGGACAGCCATTATTGAATCAAAGAACTGCCGACATGACTCGGTATAGTTGTAATACGGCTGCAGTATTTCTTCCTTATTCCGTGCCACTTAATTACCAAGAGAAAGTAGAGAGGAATATCATCACTACTTACCCTAATGATTTTTCAACTTTCGTGGAGTAACGCCTGTATGAACTGAGATCCCGGGTACAACTACAATGGCTGTTTTGCCTCCTAGGTCTTCAAATCTGTTACTCAAAAGTCTTGATAAATGTCGTCCTTATCGTTTCAATTCATTAGTAATGTAGCAAGCTATAAATGACTCCCATTTTTCTTCTATAGGTTGCCAAACTAGAGGATGGCAAGTGCAAACCGGAAAAGATGCACAAACCTGAGGTTAGTGGAAGTGGAAGAGCAGAACATGAAGAATCTGGTGGTTGCGAGTTGTCACTCACTCTCTCACTACCCCATCATTCCTCACAGAGAAGCAATGCTTCTTCGACTAGTGAGATCAGCGAGGCATTCTCATCATACTCTAGGTCAAACTTAAAAGACTGTTCTGGCTTTTCTACCGGAAAACGTGATATTAACTTAGATCTGTCCATTGCTCTTTGTGGTGCCTAATAATGTCGACGTGAAAAAAGTAGTACGTTCTGTAGAACATCTTTTGTGCTCGTTTTCCAAAGATATCTTCATTCATCTTTCTTCTGTATTCTTACCCATTGTTAATCCCGCTTTGGTTTAGTTGTGATTTCCTGCGTGCACTATCGAAATAAAAAAATGTTTGGCGTAGAAGACATGCAAAATCGTTGCGCAATGTTCATATCACCCGTATTACAATTAACTTTTTAGGTTTAATTCGTTGGAAAATTACAGTGTTGTGAAAAGCAAATTATGCCCGTGCGCTGTGCAGGAGTCGCAAGATATTAAAATTGGTTTGGGGCTTCGGTTTGTGCTCTTTTGGTAAAGAATCAAATTTGATCCTTTATGTTTTTGTTTAATTTGATCTATCCATTTTACAAAGCTAGGCCAAAAAATCTGATTTATGGTGTTGGCACAAATTTAAGGTTAATGAAAATTCAAGATCATGAAATAGCTGGAAGCGAAAGAACGAGTATATATTGTATATGATAAACAGATTTTCGTTTACTTGGAAAGCTTACTCATATTATGGAGCACAAGATTCACGAGTTTTACATGAAAAAATAACTAAATCTGGAAAAGAAACGAAAAAATCTCTGGTCACGTCCGGCTAGAGCGAGACACACGAGTATTTTTCATGCAGATTTTAGCGAAAAAGAAAACGGAGCGTGTATTGTGATGCACTTTCTGTATTCCAGAGCGCTTGAAAAAAAAATAAAATCTCCCTAGATTGTCCAAATTTGGTCTAATTAATCCCTGAAAAAATAATCATGGCATTTAGTTCCTGGACTATTTTGTTTTGTTTTGGACGTAACATGCCGTAAGTTTTTGTGAAAAATCACGTGATGGTATGAACAAATTTATTTAGCTAATGAGTTACAGTTCAATTGTGGTTATTGTTCTCTTTTTCTTCAAGAACTTAGAATTTTAACATCTTCCATATAACAAATATACACTCACATATATAAAATCCATAAACAAAGAATTAGAGTAATATACATGAATAACGACAACACCCACTATATATCATGATCATAATTTAAAGAAAGGAAAAAAATAATTGTATAATGATTATCGTTATTATCATCATCGTCGTCATCATCATAATTTAGATTATTATTATTATTGTTATCATCACAATTAAGTATAGAAAAAAATAATAATCATAATTAAGGAGAGGAAATCTAACTTAATTAAAGAATAAAATATTAGTAAATAGGAAATTTTTGTGTTATATCAACCATTAGATGTAGATAAACCATTGATTTAAAGGTAGTGTACTAATTTTAGTTATAGTGTAATAATTTTAGTTATAAACATAAACGTCTTATAATTTGAGCACATGAACAATTTGATTTACCATATTTGTTAAAATTGTTTAATATATATATATTTGGGTCAATTTCACGTCAAAGGACTAAATCCATCATTTTTTAGATTAAATCATGATCAAAGCATGCTTGGCTTTTTGTCGATCACTTGGATTCTCTCTTCAACTAAATTAGTCCCAACTTGATACTATTGAAAGTAATTATAGTTAGTTATTCGTAAATAGTGAGAATTAAACTTTGGTTTTGATTAATTCAAACTCGATACAAATTTTTTTACCGTTGAACCATATCTTTTAGTTAATGCCATTAGTTATCATCACGGATATTACATCTTTACCATTAAAGGTATGTTATGACTTTTTCAATGCCTAAGTTATCTTTGGAGGTATTTTTGTTAATGAAAAAAGAAAAGCGACCATTGTTTTTTCGTGAATAGGATCGGGGATTCATTATTAGGAATAGAGAACATGTATAGATTACAAAATAAAATCATAACGAGATTATAAAAAAATGATAAATAGTTATTTATCATTTTTTTTTATAAAAATAAATCCTAAGCCAATTAAATGAAGAAAATCCCGTCGAGAAAATGGTCGAGAGGACGCTTAAATTAACTATCAATACAACTTAGGGGGTTTTTGTTTTCGAAAAACTATACAAGAAAAGTTTTTTTTTTTTTTGTTGAAAAGTGAGTTATTTTCTAATGTTTGGTTATTTTACCTAAAAATCATATATTGGTGTTTGTTGTGCACGTGTAAATGATTGTAGTAAATAAGTAACTTTTTTTAAAAGAAAATAAGAAATTGACAACAATTTCTTTTAAACAAAGAGCCAAAGATATATATATATATATATATATATATATATTTGCTAAATAGTGTTTTTTTTTTAACTTGTTTATTGACGTGAGTTCTAATTGAGGGCTAGAATGTGATGGTTGTAAACTATTTTTTTACTTATTTATTGATGTGGTCAATTGAGTGTTAACATGTGATAGTTGTAAAATGCTTTGAGCTTTCGAGAAGTGAAAGTCATTTTTTAAAGTTTAAAATGTGTATTGAGTTTGATCGTAAATTATTTTTGTTGGGTTGGTTCCTTTTTCGTGTAGAATACAAAATAAGAAAAAAATACCGACATTGCTATAGGTCACGTTAGGGACTATTATGTAAGGGACTATTACATAAGTCAAATACCGACATTGAGTTTGATTGTAAATTATTTTTGTTGGGTTGGTTCATTTTTTCGCGTAGAACCCAAAACCCATGTATACAAAATAAGGAAAAAAAAAATACCGACCTTTATATAGGTCATGTAAGGGACTATTATATAAGTAAAAAACCATTGGCTTATTTAGGTGGTGTACCAACACACGATAAAAAGGAAAGAAGGGAAAATCTATTTGGAGAGAGAGAGAGAGAGAGAGAGAGAGAGAGAGAGAGAGAGAGAGAGAGAGAGAAGAAAAGGTTTACTCTTCATCTTTATTATTTTTATCGGACGATAATTTCAAATTTGATTGAAATAAAATTTTAATATGTTGTTCTTGGTAATGAGCTTTTCAATGAATGGTGTTGATCATTGAAAAGCTTTTATTTTTAGATATTTTCAAAAAATCTAGTAAGATCTAGTTATTTTCGTTATCGTTATTTTTTGGTATTCATTTTTAAAATGATGACTTCTATGTTTTGATGTGTATCCTCTAGTTGAGTTGAGAAAAAACCTTGTATTCATTATTTGATATAGTTGAAAAGTTTGAGTAGACTACAATTCCATGATTTTTCCAACAAATTGCTTTTTCACATTAAAATTCATATGTTGATTGTGGTTGCGTGTTTATTTATTTATGCATTAATTATTATTAATTGATTGATCTTAATTTTAATTCCATAAATAGAAAAAAAAATTACTTATAGTTTGTGATTTTGATTCATACAAATATCTTTCTTTCTTTTTTCTTTTTTTTCAATAGAGTAATATCGAGTTTCGAGTTATATAGGTTGAATTTTTTTCTTGTTCGGTTAAAATAGAAAAATAAGATTTGAGCATGATAAAGATCAAATCCTAAAAGACATTGATGGAGGATCACCTTTACTATAATGATTTAGCGTTTCTTCTTAAATATCGAGAAAAGAAGCCTACTAATATGATGGAGGTGTCCTTGAGCCATTGATTGATGATCTTGAGCCAACTAATGATGATGATCACATTGTTGCTCCTCAACAAGTTGTTCAAGAAACAACAAATGAACTACGATTGAGGAAGTGTACTAGACTTTTCCAATCATTCACCAAATACCCTTTTCATGAGTTTGTATTGGTTATTAATGAAGGAGAGTTAGAATGCTTCGATGAATGTATGTCACACGAGAATAAAAATGATTTGTTAAAAGTCATGCAAGATGAGATGAAATTCTTATATGAGAACCACACTTTTGAGTTAGTGAATATTCTTAAGGGCTAGAAAGCATTCGGGAACAAATGGGTGTTTAGATTGAAAACTTTTAAAAAATTACTTACAACCTAAGGTAGCATTGGTCATGAAGGGTTCTAGAAGAAAAGCATTGATTTTGAAGAAATTTTTTCACCCTTGGTCAAGATGACTTCAATCTAAGTTGTGTTTGTTAACTTAAATCTTAAAGTTGAATAGGTTTTTGCAAAAACTACCTTCCTTTATTTTAATTTCAAAGATGAAATCTATATAAAAGAATCGAAGGGTTTGAAGTGAAAGACAAAAAACGACCATTTTGCAACTTGAAAAGAACTTTTATGGATTAAAGTAAACTCCATGCCAATGTTATAAGAAGTTTGATTCATTTATGATGGAGCATAGTTATGGTAGTTCACTTCGATCGGTGTGTGTTCATAAAAAAAATTTATTGATAACGACTTTATTATTCTCTTGCTATATGCGGATGATATGTTGATTGATGGTCATGATGCTAGGAAGATTCGAGTTTAAAGACATACTTGACCAAGTGCTTTGCAATGAAAGATTTGTGACCTAAAAAACAAGTTCTTGAGATGAAAATTACATGTGACAAGACGAATGGGAAACTTTAGATATCTCGGGAGTGATAGGTTCAAAAAGTCTTTGATAGAACCATTTTTGATATTTGTGTGTTTGTGAAGAAATTTATTGACGGTGACTTATTATTCTCATGCTATACACATATGATATGTTGATTGTTAGTCATGGTGTAAAGAGGATTTAGAATTTAAAGATAGACTTGAGCACAAATTTTGCAATAAAATACTTGTGACTCGAAAAACAGATTTTTGCATGAAGATTACTTATGAGGAAAAGAATAGAAAACTTTAGCTATCTCATTAGAGATAGGTTCAAAAAGTCCTTCAAATATTTAATATGGACAAGTCCAACCTGTTTGTTCTCTACTTGTAAACCATTTTAAGCTAATTTCTAAACAATATCCTTTAAGTAACGAAGAAAAAAAGAGATGAAGAATTTTCTCGTCGTAGTTAGTAGCTTGATACATGTCATGGTTTATACAAGACCGAATACAGCTCATGTAGTTGGTGTGGTGAGTTACTTTTTCTTCAATTTTAATAAAAAAACACTAGTTAAAAGTAAAATAAACACTCGGGTATCTCAAATGCACTTCTAGTTTTAGCATATGCTTTAGTAATGGTAAACTCTGTGGTAGATGAGTGCATAAATATAGATATGACTTGGTGACATTGATTCTTGAAAATTCACACCAATATAATTGATGATTTTTGTAAAAGGAGTAGTTTCATGAAAGTTGAGGTTGCAAAAATATGTTGCTTTATCTACTATAAAGACCGAATACATTGCTCTTATTAAGGGGGTAAAGAGTTGTTATTGATGAAAAAGTTTTAACTTGAACTTGGACTAGAGTTAGAGAATTTTATGCTCCATTGTGAAAAATCAGCATGCAATCCATCTTAATAAGCATCTTACTTTTTATTCTCAATCTAAGCAAATTAAGGGCGGACCAATGGATTTGAGACGCTATGAAGATGAAGTCCTTTATTGTTAAAAATATCCATACCAACAAGAATGGATCGAATATGATAATTAAACATTTACCAAAAGAGAAGTTTGAGTTACGTATAAGATAAACAAGCTTAGTCGAGGCTTTCAAATGAGTCAAGAGAGAAAAAATGTTGGGTTGGATCTCTCCTAAGGTGGAGCTCAAAACCAATGTATACAAAATAAGAAAGAACAAACAAACAAAACAAAACAAGAAAAAAAAAGCAAAAAAAGGAAAAGGATGACTAACCTAACTATGGTTTGAAGGGAGTTTTGGCCCCGTTCTATTGTAATTTAGCAATTTCAAGCCTTTACTACGAAATTGCATAATTTCAACCCTAAAGTATTGATTTTTTTAAAACTATAATTTAACTTACATAATTAGTGCTATTTGTAATGGTCAATCTGGGTTGATCGTTATATAAAATGCCAAAACAACATCTTTTTGGCATTCTACTATTAATTTTAGTTTTTATAAAAAAATATTTTAAAGATTAAATTGATTAGAATTTAGGAGATAAGACATATAATATGTCGTTTTTCTTACCCTCTTTTCAATTAGAATGAAATCACATCGAGAGAGTTAGACTAATTTTCAATTTAATTGTTTTATTTGAACAAAATCAAACCCGATAAAGAGCGAGAAAGTGAGAAACTAGGTTAAGGATCATGATTAAGAGTGGTGGTTTCAATCACAATTGTGGCGAGTGTTGGTTATGGAGGAGGTACATACTATGAAGGAGACAATGAATACAACTATGATGGAGATGGCTACGGTGGAGGCGGAGGTGGATATGGTGGTGGAGACTATGGCGAGTGGATGTGACCGTAGGTATGGTGATGGTGGATTTTGGTACTCTTCTATCGGTGGATCCGACGGTGGTAGTTGGAGAAATTAGCTTGCTTTAAAATCGATACATGACAATAAATTCAAGCCTAGAAGTTTGGAATTTGAATTACCACTACATGTTTTGTATATAATGGATGCTATAGGAGTTGGATTGAACAAGAATGAGAGAGATTTTGCTCAATTCTATAGAATTTACACGAGTTACAATTGATGTTGGGGAGAGAGGGTTTACTTGGCTCGGACAAAGGCTTTAATGATAGCATTGTAAATTGAAGTCTCCAAGATCGTGTAAGGATGAACTTGTTTTGATCTTGGTTCCATTGTAACCTTCCTTATTAATGGACAATAATATTGAATTCAATTTAACATGATTTCCATTTATTTGATGGATTTGACTTCAATGAAGTATTCAAAGGAACATTCACTTGCATTATAATTAAATGTTGTACTCATAGGGACACAATATGGTTTTTTTGGTTGACATGGGTAATGTATTGGAGAGATGATGAATCTTTGAAGACCGGAAGGAATAAAGCTTTGAGCCTAAAGGACTTTAAAGCAATAAAAAGAGATATGAAGAAGAGAATAATATAACAAAGGGCTAGGAAATGATGAATCGAGGAAGTCATGAAAGATAGCATGAGAGAGTAGAGTAGTGTTTAGTTTGCGTGGAGATATTTCCATTTACACAAGTTGCAATTGATGTAGTTTGTTAAATTAGAATTTGTTCAATTCTCTTTATTGATGTAGTCAAAAGGTTTCTTTAGCACTTTCTAGATTTAATCAAAAACTCTCTTCCTAAGACAAGTTGCAATTGTTAGATTAGGGAGATAAGACAAACGACATGTTATCCGACTTATCCTCCTAATTTAACCCCTTTAAATCTTAAACATTAAATTTTTTTTTAAAAAAAATTAAAAGCGAAATGCACAAAACGACATTATTTTAGCATTTTGTTTAAAAAACCTAATTGATCGTTAAAGATAATGAAGATTATGGAATGTGGATCAAATTTGCCAAAATTTTGATATATTAAGATTCAAATTACATAATTTGATACTAAAAACCTAAAATTGTGAAATTATGATAGAATGGGAGCAATTTTTTTCATTAAACCACCTAGCTATAAGTCACGCAAATGAAAACTATATAAGTAAAAATCGTTGGCTTATTTGGATGGTATAGTAGCGGACAATAATACTAACAAAAAGGAGAGAAGGGGTAATTTTATTGAGAGAGAGAGAGGAAGAAGAAAATTGTGTACTCTTCATCTCTATTGCCTTGATCGAACGATAATTTCAAATCCAATTAAAATAAAATTTTGATATATTGCTCTCAACGACGAGCTCTTTAACTTGAATTACGCTAATCATTGAGAAAATTTCATCTTTAGATATTTTTGAAAAAACTTATTTGATGAGATTTAAATGCTTTTTGTTGTTGTTGTTATCGATGTCCATCTTTGAAATGATGAATTTGAAGTGTATCATCTAGTTCGGTTAGAAAAGATCCTTATATCCTATTATTTAATAAAGTGAAAGAGTTTGAATAAACTACTTGTCTTGTGATTTTCTCTTACGACGAGATTTTTCATTTAAAAATTACTCGTATTGATTGTGATTACTTGTTTATTTATTTAGGTATTGATTATTATTGATTGATGAATTTTACTTTTAATTACACAAAAAGAAAAAAAAAGAATTAAGACCTGTTTTTCAATTCTTCTAGGTACCTTTTCCCAATAAGTTTTCCAATACTCACCAAACATGAAAACATATTCTTTTAGAAGGTTATTTTTCGAAAACACACGCTTTAAAATATCATGATTAATCAAAGGGATAACGATAACAGAAATCACGCTAATTGAAAGGAAAAAAAATATATATATATACAAATTTAATGACTTTCATGTGCGGACGGGTAGTGGGACAGTTGGGAAAACCATGTTGGTAGCTATCGTTTTTTTTTTGTAAAGAAAACAACAAACATCACAAATAGATTACGGTTTTTGTAAGAGTTGGAGTCCGAGTCCTAGTTTAGAAAACAGGAGTGTATGAATACTTAGAATAGACTTCTCACGTTGAAAAGCTTTTAATATTGAAGGTTTAACAATTGGAATATATAAAGAAATTATACAGCTTCTTAAAGAAGTACGTGCCCCCCAACTCTTTTGAAGTCGAGTCTTTGCTTATTTTCAAAAGTTGAAATTTGAAAAAGATATGGCAGAATATCAAAAACCATGTCATTGGAAAGTTCTTTTCTTGTCAACTGAATGTTGCTCATGGATCCTAACTTCGGCTTCTTTTTTATACCAAATAGATTTTTTTAGCACAGCGGAGAAATGATATCTAAAAGTCGTGTATTTATTGAGGGTTATGTAAAAGGAAGAAATAGAAACAGACTTGGTTTGTTAATTATTTAGCTTTCTAATCACTCAGTCAGTTAGTTTATTCTATAACTAACTAATTAGTTGGAAGAGCTACTATTAGCCTAATTAGTTACTGTAGTATAAATTTCGGTTCGCAATTCATTCCTCGTAAGTCAATAAAATAAGTAAAATTCATTTTCAACTTTTCTTCTCCAAAACTCAATTTCAATCTCACTTCTCTCTCTCTCTCTCTCTCTCTCAAACTTCATCTTCAACTTGGTATCAAAGCAACCAAAAATGTAGAGTTTCAAGCTTGAGCTGTAATCATCATCTACTTCTTACTTGATCCAATTTGTTGATTTCAATCTCAATTTAATCAATTTCATCAGATTCGTGGTAAGATCTTTCTGCTTCACTTCTTTCTAGAATCTTGCTAGAATTCATCTTCATTAATGGCTTCAAGAGGAGGAACAATTGAGTCTTCATCCAATGTTAATCAGATTTCTCCATTAGAAGATCCTAGTTCACCTTATTTCCTTCATCATGGATCTATCATAGTTTCTCCTGAACTTATATCCAGTAACCATGCTACATGGAGTAGGTCATTTCTGTTCGCTCTTTCAATTAGAAATAAGACTGGTTTTGTGGATTGATCAATTAAGTCACTCGCTACTAATGATCTTCTGTATAGTACATGGACTGGTTTTGAGGATTGATCAATTAAGTCACTTGCTACTAATGATCTTCTGTATAGTACATGGACAAGATGCAATTATTTGATTGTTGTATAGCTATTAAGATCAATTTCACAAGCAATTACATCTGCTGTCTTCTATGTTGACTCAGCCTATAAGATTTAGGAGACTTCGAAAATAAGATTTTCGTAGCCAAATGATACAAGGATTTGTAACCTACAGCTGTCTTTATGTACAATTTCTCAAGAAGATAAGTGAGTTGATGAATACTTCACAAAATTAAATGGTATTTAGGAAGAGTTGAGGAATTACAGTCCTTACCTCACTATTCATGTAGAGGATGCAATGAAGTATTTTTTCAAAAATTTATGGATCACATATAGCAGAAAGATGTTTGATTTATTAATGAACTCGGTGAGAGTATTCTATTCTTAAATCTCAAATCTCAAATCCTTGTCATGAAACCTTTTTCTAACCTAGATGAGGTCTATAATCTTGCATTAAGATAAGAGAATCATATATTTATGCCAGTAACATGCCAATGTTTCACTAAGAACAAAACAATGGCAGCAACAGCAAGTATGAAGAGAAGGTTTAAGATAGTTATTGTGTGTAGTTACTGTGGCAAGAATGGGGACACAAAAGACAAATGCTTTCGGTTGATTGAATTTCCAACTAACTTTTAATTCACCTAGAGCTAGCTTGAAAAGCAACATATGATCAACAATGTAACTGGTTTTGTTAACTCAAAAGTCAAGGATACTATAGTTTCCAGTAGAGTTACTTCTACACATATGTCCTTAATAAAAGATCAATTTCATAAACTCATAACCATCCTCAATGAACAAAATTCAATGGCATCTTCTTCAAAACATAACCTTTTCATCTAATACTTCTCTTCTTGCATCAAATGTTACAGGTAATAACTCTTCAAACACAACCTTATTTGCTAGGAATTTTTCATCCAATTCTCATCTAAAAAAACCCATTTGGATTATTGACACTGGTGCAACAGATCACATTGTTTCCTCTTTAGATATGTTTGATTCCTATCGCACTGTCAATAATATGACTGTATAATTACTTACTGGAGAAAAGGTTAAAGTCACACATATTGGACATGCCATAGTCTTTCCCTCATTCATTTTTTTTGATGTGTTATTTGTCCCTACCTTTCATTATAATTTATTGTTTGCGAGTAAGCTTGTTGTATCACAACGATATGGATTGATTTTTGCTGGCAATACTTATCTGATTCAAGACCTTCATTCCTGGATAATGATTGAACTTGCTAAGCTTCACTCAGGACTATTTCTATTGCAAATAAGATCACTTACACAACCTATTATCTGTTCATCGTCTACACAGTCTCCAATCAATGTCTCTGTAAATAGTCTTGTCAATAAGTTCTTTGACTTCTGACATTTTTCAAATTAGGACATACTTCAGCTAATAAAATGAAAGTTTTACAACAGCCTTATTCAAACGTTCATTGTGATTCAAGTTTTCCTTGTATGGTCTACCCACTAGGAAAACAAAAAAGATTATCTTTTTCTATTCATATCAAAAATACTTCTAAACTATTTGAGCTTGTTCATATGGATATATGGGATCTATATTCAGTGTTAGCTATATGTGGTTTTCAATATTTCCTACCATCGAAAATGATTACGGTAGAAATACTTGAGTGTTCTTAATGAAATCCAAAGCTAATGTATCTCACATTGTACTTTCTTTCTACAATTTAATAAAGACATAATTTGGTGGTTCAATTTTGCAAATTAGTTATGATAATGGTCTAGAATTTAATCTTCTTGATTTTTATCATTCTAAGGGCATTATACATCAAATGACACGTGTCAATACGCCCCAACAAAATGCTATAGTGGAAAGAAAACACCAGCATATTCTTATTGTAGCTAGATCCCTTCTATTTTAGGTATCTTTTCCTATGCAATTCCGGAGAAATGCAGTTTTGACAACCACCTATGTCATTAACAGACTACCTAGTTCTATTCTCTAAAATGTCTCACCTTATCAAGTTCTTTTCAACAAAGCTCCATGTTATAATGACTTTCTAGTCTTTGATTCATTATGCTTTGCTTCTACTCTTACTCACCATAGAAAGAATTTGAACCGAAGGCTAAATAATGTATTTTCATTGGTTATTCAGTTGGAGTTAAAAGATATAAGCTATATGATTTTCATACACGTACTACATTCATTTCTAGAGATGTAGTGTTTCATGAAGATACATTCTTTTATTCTAATAATTCTTCCAGCCATCCTACTGTTTCTCTAGGTTCATCTTATTTAGACTCTCTATTTGATTTTTCCACAATAACATCAAAACATAATCTTGTTAATCATGATACTCCCGTTATTCCTCCATTCATTTTCCTATATGATCATGCTACTCCTAGTTTTGTTGAAAATCCTGATCCTGATCATATTTCTTCTTCTAGTTTTGATGATGTTTGTGTTCATAATCATGCTTCTTCTATTGTCTAACATAATCCACTATTGAGAAGAAGTACTAGAACTTCTCAATTGCTTGTTTACCTTGAAGATTATGAACATACACTTACTCATTCTCTGTCTAATGTTCGTACTACACCTTATTATTTATGTCACTATGTTTTTACTGTAAATTTATCGTCTTCAAATAAATCATTCACTGATTCAGTTTCTTCTATTTCTAAGACACAAACATATTCTCAAGCTGTGAAATTTGCTTATTAGAGAGAGTCTATGCAGTCTGAAATTGATTCTGTGAAGGATAATCACACTTAAACGATAGTACCTTTGCTTTTTGAAAAACAATCCATTGGTTGCAAATGAGTTTATAAAGTTAAGTTGAAATCTAATGGTAGTATTGAGAGCTATAAAGTCAGGTTAGTGGCTAAATGATATAATCAAAGAGAAGTGTTCGATTATTAAGAAACTTTCAACCTTGTGGCTAAACATACTATTGTCAAGGTTTTGTTAGCATTAGCAGTTGTGGATGGTTGGCATTTTTTGCAATTAGATGTCAGTAATGCATTTCTTCATGGAGATATAGTAGAGTCGGTCTATATGGATTTGCCCTTAGGTTATCAAGTGTAAAGGAAGTGTGTACCTACTTAACATCTGGTTTGCAAGCTTAACAAGTCTCTACATGATCTAAAACAGGCTTCTAGACAGTGGAATTGCAAGTTCACTGATGTACCCATAGAATTTGGACTTGTTCAATCAAAATCTGATTATTCTTTGTTTTTTCAAAGAAAGAGAGAGTTTTCTTTGCTTACTTGTCTATGTAGATGACATAATCTTAGCAAGCAACTCTACTGAATCTACTGGCAGTTTAAAATAGTTTTTGAATAGCAAATTCAAGCTAAGAGACTTGGGAAACTTGAAATATTTCCTTGGCATTAAAGTTGCAAGAACAATGAAAGGCATTTCAATATGTCAAAGGAAATATATTGTGGGTTTGTTAGAGTATGGTTTTACAGGTTCTAAACCAATATCTTCACCTATGGATCCAAATCATAAACTGTCAAAGATTGCTGATTCAAATTCTGTGAATTCTATAATATACAGACAATTAGTTGGAAAATTGTTGCATTTAACTTTCACTAGACCTGATATTGCTTATGCAATAAAAGTTCCTTGACAAACCAACAATTATACATATGCAAGTAGCTCATAGGGTGTTGAGATATTTATAGAATTCTTTAGGACAAAGCCTATTGTTTTCATCTAGTTCAAGACCACATTTGACAATATATTCAGATAGTGATTGGACAAGATGCCTAGATACAAGAAAGTTAGTAACAAGTTTTTGTGTATTCTTGGAAATTCCTTACTAAGCTAGAAATCTAAGAAACAAACATTGGTGGCCAGAAGTTCAACTGAGGTAGAATATAAATCTATAGCATCTACAACATTTGAAGTGGCTGGTTACTGTCTTCGTTATCTGATTTTGGATACTCAAATATCCAACTAGTTAAGCTTCATTGTGATAACAAGTTTGCACTTTACATCTCTAAAAATTCAGTGTTTCATGAACGAACAAACACATAAAAATTGACTATCATTTTGTGAGAGAAAAGGTTGCTGCAGGCCGGAATTTTTACAAACACACTTACATATTACAGACATATTTACAAAAGGCATACAACCAAGACAATTCAAATTGCTTCTAAGCAAGATGAACACCATTGACATTTTTATTGTTCATCTTGAGGGGGTGTGTAAAAAGAAGAAATAAAAGCAAACTTGGTTTGTTAATGAGTTAGCTTCCCACTCAGTTAGTTGGTTGGTTTGTTTATTCTATAACCAACGAATTATTTGGAAGAGCTACTGTTAGCCTAATTAGTTACCGTAGTATAATTATCAATTTGTAATTCATTCTTCGTAAATCAATAAAAATAGTAGAATTCATTTTCAACTTTTCTTCTGCAAAACTCAATTACAATTTCACTTCTCAGTCAAAGTTCATCTTCAACAGGTTAAAATTGGATATGGGAACGGAAATGTAACTAGAGTTTGAATAGGAGGAGGGAAAAAAAAACAAAAAACACAAAAAAGGCCCCAAAAAAAAAAAAAAAACGTACGGGAGAAATTTAAGATGCACAGCTTCCTATACCACCTCAGCCAATGCATAAAAAGCTGTTCTTACCTGATCCAAAGTTTTTCTCAACCTGCTTGTATCTTAACCTGAATTAATAAAGATGTTTAGTTTATTTTGTATATCTTATTTGACCATTTGTTACACATAAAAATATTACATCCTCAAAAAAGTAAAAACATAAATATAAAATAAAAAAAAAAACCAAACCAAGCAGGACCAAATATAAAATAGACCTAAATCCAACTAACTTCAGAACAGGGATGGGGGAGGCAAAATTGAGTACGAAGTTCAAAACCCTACACAAGTTCAACAAGTCGAGGGAAAGACAGTAACGTACCTTCTATAAGAGGACCAGAGGATGTGCGTCAGACAGCTTGTTAGATTCTATTTTAAATTAAAATCCTTATTCAATTTAATCTTTCGTAAGTTCTAATCAATAATGACTATCATTACAAGGCAAGATTCGCATGTCACATAGAAGACTATTTGAGGTGACGAACTCCCATGACTATGTTTCATCCAGGCTTCTGGTCAGGTCCCATGACTCAAATTAACCCTATCTATTTTCACCAAAAATGAAAAAGAAAAATCAAAAGAAAAAAAGTCTATCCTATTTAATAAAACGAATTAAATATGCATCCTTTGCACCATGCTCAGCCATCCAAGTGAAAGAAAAACTGGCCAGAGAAACCCTAGCTGCATGATGGACATTAGATTGTGATTACCAGTTACCATGCTCACCAATCTTGGTCAAGTCGGATATTTCCACAACATATCAAGTCCTTCCATTCCTCGCATTCGTATCAGAAACTAGTGCCTTAATGCATAGCCGTGGCTTTACACTTACAAGGTTTTGAGGAAGAACAGAGACAGCAGCGACCAGTGACCCATTGGGTACTCCAGAAAGAGGCAACAACTCCACAAGAACAGAGAGCTGTAAGAGTTCTCATTATGGTCATCAGCCTGAAGATAGGCAAAGGAAGAGAAATTCATTGACATATAAGATTAGTGACTGGTGAGTTCAATCTTACCTCTGGTGATTTGAGATCAACAGCTGACTCTGGTACAACATCTTTAATTGCAGAAGCTACAGCATCAAAGCATTTGCTCCGGTCCAACATAGGAAATGGATCAGAATCTTTTGGCTTAACTTTCAAATTCTTCATGCATGTCTCTTCAATTCCTCTCCTGTTATATCCAACTGCAAACTTCAGATAAATCGCAATTAATTTATAAGGTCACAACCAAACAATACACTGATGTTTTTTTTTCTCAATTTAATTCATCCACAACTGCACTAATGCTCACAAGAGAGACACAGAGTAACAGAGCAAGAGAGATATGTCAAGAAGAAAATTCCATTCTATTTCATTTGGCATCAGAGTATTTCAATATATGCACACAAGTGATTAAATAGGCTAATTTTGTCCCTTTTCTTTTACCATTTGCAATGGCACAATTCATTGAATAAATCCGTGATGCCTAACATAAAAACACAAGGATGCAGTGGAATTCAAGTATCCATCAAGTTCTCTCACTCATAATGACCAAAAAACCCTTAGACATCTACTGAGTAAATTGGAATGCGGGGTTGAACCTTCAGTTATCCTATAGGGACTACCAGCTACTAACATATGTTCAGCACAGAAGACTGGACAACCATGGCAAATCACCGAATGAAAGTGTACCTTAATAGGTCGTGCAAGTGTCTTTTGTTTGTCATTGATGAATTGAAGAACAAGCTTTGACACAATTGCTCGCAGTTCCTTTTCAATCAACAAACAAGTAGCCTGAATGGGGAAAATGCGATGACACCAGCTGCACCGATAAAGCGACATTTCACCAGATCTAGTTAACGTGAGAAAAAGATATATAGTACCAAAGACTCGATTATAACAACAAATTTCTCATTACCATATATATATAGCCACTAATAACTTGCTTGTAAGAACATAATGGGCACTCTATAGATGCAGCAAACTAAATAACACCCAAAAGAATGTATAACTTCAGGCATTCATGATTTGTGCTTTCCAATTTTGTGTCAACACAAGGAAACTTTCATTTATATATAACTTTTCCCATATCTTTTAGGAGCAGCATAAGTATACAAAAACATAAAAAGACACGACAGATTGCAGCAAATGAGGATACAACATCATGCCCTGGGTTGTGGTATCAAAGCAGAGAGTGATGTGGTCATATTTCCTCAAATTTTTCAGTCACATGGGACATGTGTCTTGGACTGTTTGCAAGAGAGTGTGAACGGTGTGGTCCCAAAGAGGGTAGAAGATTTTTGATATATCCCTTTCTGGGGTTCGGGGAAGGATTTTGTGGTGCTGTGCCATGTTTGCTTTTTGACAATTTCATGTGTTTAGACTGAGGAATGCTAAAGTCTTGAATGCTAAAGTCTTCAAAAGTCATTTCTCCTCAAGACAGGTGTTGCGGGATATGATACTTTTTATGCTTCCTTGTGGAGTAATGGACTGAGGGTATTTCTTTATCTGACGTTCAGGAGGATAGCAGTGCGCTTTTCTTTGATCCCACTTCGTTTATTCTTTTCATTTTTGAGGATAACTTATTGTCCTAAATGTTGTTGTGCATTTCAAAGAGATGGGTTTGCGTTATTGGAAGATGGATTATAAAATGCCATCCTATAGATGACAAGAAAACAATGCAAAATTGAAAGGGATATACTTTAATTGCCTCCAATGGAACATGTGACCACACATAAAAAGGGTGGCATTATCGGAGAGCATTTGCACAGAACCATGCTACTTGATAAGAAAACTTGACAAATAGAAAACCAGTGATGCAAATGACTTACAGAGGTGACTTTAAAATCCCAGATTCCAGACATTGGAAAATATTTGATACGACATCTATAGTGACAGAGGAATTATCTCTGGGAAAGGTAAGGAGAACCAAGCCACTTTTTGTCAGCTTCACTAGTGAAAGAACAAAACCTCTTTCCACAGGTGTATCTGCTTTCACAAGAGATAGACAATCATCGTTTGCAGGTCCACCTGTCATTAGGAAGCACAAGCAATATGACAACAAATAAATAATCAAATGCCTAACCATAGGTGTCATTAAGAATCAAAAGTCTGTTATCTTGCCTACAAAATTACCACTTATCTCCTCAATGATGCTTTTACTTTTCACATCTTCAGCAGGCATCGCACCTGTTTCATCTGTCAAAATTCTCCTTCTCTTCGTGCTTTTACTTTCATTAGAGCTTTCAAAGCTTTCAGAGCTTCCACTGTTGTAGGATTCAGCATACTGCACAGTAATTCAAGATCACATAATTAGCATTTACAGAAACATATATTTCACTGTTGTGTTTTGGTCCAATGCCAGGAAGTTATATCTCATATGGAACCAATGGGAATAAAATGTAGTCACACTTTCAGTCATTATTACACAGCAAAAGGGGCATCTAAAAAGTCCAACCAAAATAAGTACAGAACTTGAATTATATGCGAGAAACTTCTTTTATTAAAAAAAAATAAAAATAAAAGAAAGATATTCAAAAGAAAATTTATTTCTCCCACCTCAACTGCATTGAAAAATGAAAGTTGCCTTTTTTGATAAATATTATTGAAAATAGTGAAACAAATGAGTAGAGAACCAACCCATCCGTTTTAATGTTTGAATATGCAGTATCTCTTAAAGCAAGGGATGCAAAATTATGATCAAATACAGATAGGAAACAACAAAATAGAATAAAGCAAGCCTGTGCACCTATAAAGATAAAGTGTCTCTTAACCCCATTCAGATTTCTCAATAACAGGCTCCCACATCCTTGTATATTTAAATTTTGCACCCTAAAGAAAAATAAAAAAGCTTCCCATGTGTGCCAAGATGCTATTCTAGAAATTTCAATCAACCCCTTGCCCAGCTCGCCTTTTCTCAATTAATTTGAGGCCAAATATTGCCTCAAAGTAAAGAAGCACACTTCTTATGAATAGATATTGAGTTTCCTTTCATCACGAAAACGTTACAGCATACCTGGCAACTATGAGATGCCCTAATATATGTCTATAATAAAATCCCACCACTCCTACCACCTGGAAGGTCCCCACAAAAGAAAAAAAGGAACCCTCACCACCTTGCTCAACATTCTAGAGAAACCTATATGACGAAGATAACAAGAAGTAGAGGCAAACGATTTCCTCGATGAAGGCCTCTAAAGCAGAAAAGTACCAAGCAACATGGCCATTCCCTAAATTGAGAATTTAGACATAAAGTCAATACCAAAGGGCTATATCAAATACCACTTAAGGCCCATAGAATAGTTATAAATGCTAGTTCAGTTGGAAATAGAAACAATAATAAGCATAAGAAGATAGATAAACAATATGACTAGCTCGATATGAACAGAATAATGACTACCAAGGGCACTTTCTTGTATAGAAAATTGTCTTCTTATGACTCTTGGCTTAGTAGCTCCAGAAATGGCTTTTCGTATTAAATTTCTCTAAACTAAGTCTAACTTAGCAATAGATGTGCCATCATATAGGCATAAATCTATAATAGCGTCACTATTACAAATAAAACTAGAACTTCTAACTGGAAGAAAACTAAGGTAGCATGATAATGAATGTAAACAAGTTAAAAAGAGAAAAAACCTTTTCAAGGATGGACATGGCTTCTTTCGTAGCACTTTTCTCCCTTTCTGATAAGAAAAGAAAATTTCTGAAGCTTAAAACCCGAATAGAATTAGACATACATAAAAAATGATTAAGAAGCATACAGGAAAAATTAGACATACATGAAAAATTATGTTAACACTTTCACTGGCTAGAAATATATTTAACAACTTTTGCATGCTTATTTATTTAAAGGATAGCAATAAGAAAAATAAAATAATGTTCGCAACTCCAGATTCAACATGAACGCAAAATAGGCAACCAAACATGTTAATAAAGAAACTACAAACATGCAGCTATAAGTAAAAATGTTAGTTTCTCAGGGTGCATGCACAATACACATTCTTAGCCAGAAACCATAAATTAGCCGCTAAAATAGTTTTTACAATGTGCACAGTTTCAATCTCCAGAATCTCTCTCGACATATTATTGAGAAGCAAGTGCAGTGACTATACACACACTTTGGCAGCTATGCTGGATTGTTAATTGTTACTTACTAAAGGTGTGTCTGTGGCCGCATTTGGTTCTTTTGGGATGATTTATCTATTTAGTGAGAGCAGTGAGAAGGGATGGGGTGCTACAAAAATAATACAGATGTTGATCTTCAAAATGATGTAATGCTATCATCACTGATATCTTAGTTTCTGTACAATAAAACTACCATTCTAAATCCCGAATGATCTGTAATACAGAAGGTATGATCCAAATTACCGTTCTTTTGAAACTCGAGCATATTCCTAATACATGATCCTAAATGGGTTTTGTATTTCAGAAAAAAAAAAAAAAATTGTTCCTAGCAAAATAATCCCATAAAACTCACAACTATACCGCCTTCCAAACCAAGTAACATACTACAGTCCCCCATTTCCCCCACATACCAAAGCCTTTGGCACTCGAGGGAACTTACATTAACAGTACTTTATCAAACCCGTCTAACAGATTGTGTTGTGAGTCTTTCAAGCTCTGGTTTCGGTAACGAAAAAGTTAAAGAAAATCCTAAGAGTGTACAAGCAGATAGAGATAGGAAATTTGGGTGTCAGGACGTTCAATGTTTTTACTTGATAACCTAGTAAAATTAATGAGATGAACAAGGAACTGCAAGCGGTTAATTATAAATAAAAACAGGGAAAAGGAGGGAGGGTTGTAGAGGAAACTTACTAATGGAGCAGGTGATGAGAAAGCCAGAGTGAGAGCGATGAAGAAGGGCAGAAGGAGCGTTGTAATCGAAACGAGGCATGTTTATCACCCCTGCATGCTGTTCCCATGGCTTCATTCTTTCTTTCTCCGCTTCTTCTGATTTCGATTCCATTTTTGCCTTTTCTTCTTCTCCAGCCATTGATTCAACTTCTCTGTTAGCTGATAGTGCAGCCATCTTCAGAGATTTCGAAAGACAGGGAAAGAGGTTTTACATACCTTTGGGTTGTAAAACGGGCGGACGGGGCCACTATTACTTTAATTCGGGTTGCAAGCCCATTCTATGATCCAAGGCATATCAGCTTAGCCCATTCTATTATCCAAGGTATATCACCTTAGCTCATTCTATGATCCAAGGTATATCAGCTTAGCCCATTCTATTATCCAAGGTATATCAGATCACCGGGTGGCCCAGCCCATTTGTGAAAAAAGGCCGAAAAAGCAAGGCTTAGACCCTCTCTTCTTTACACGGGATGTCATGCCATGCTATTGCTCTATGGATGGAATAATTTCTGTTTTTAATTGTTAGGATAAAAATTTAAGGGGAAAGTGCACACATAGTTTTGCACTTTGTTTTAATGTTTGGAGAAATTTCGACAAAACTAGTACTGTTAGTAGAAAAGGTAAGTGCTTAATAAACGGTAATCAAAGCAGTTAGAAGCGAAGTTACATTAATTAATTTTAAGGACGGACCCACAAAATCCAACGTTCTTTTGATTCCCAAATCGCAGATCCCCCATTCTTCTCGCTCTCAGGCTCTCACTGACTTCTGCAACAAACACAAAATCTACCTGCCCAACCCCGATTCTCACTCTCACAAAATAACTAAAATAAATTAATAAATAAACAATGCTACTTAATGAATCCAGTTCCATTATTCAGGTTCCAAACCACCACCACCACCAGGAGACAATCGCCGGTCACCACCCCCGCCTCCTCCGCACCAGATTCACCAATAACTTCCCTGCCTCCTCCTCCATGTTGTCTGAATCCACCGTCCCCCGTCCTGTTCTTGTCTTCGCTGCCATTTCCGTCTCCTGTTTGCTCCTCTACGGTGCCGCCGATTCTCTCCGCTTCCTCTCCTCCTCCTCCTCGTCCTCTGGTTACTCCTTTAAGTTCCCTTCTCGCCTCGACAGCGTCAACAGCAGCAGCAACAACAACAACAACAGCGATTCTAAATTACCTGTGAGTGAAAAAATAAAATGAAAAAATCACTCTTCCTTTACTTTGGCGCATTTTAGCACAAATCAAATGATTTGTGGTGCACTCTAGCAAATTTCTTTCCTTTTTTTCCTTTTTTTTGTATTAATTGGTGGATTATTAATGTCATTATGTAGATTAATGATGATGATTATAAGCTGGAGAAAGTACTGAAAGAAGCTGCAATGGAAGATAAGACAGTAATAATTGCTACATTAAATGAAGCATGGGCAGCTCCAAATACAATTATTGATTTATTCCTTGAAAGCTTTAGAAATGGGCAGGGAACGCGTAGGCTTTTGAATCATTTGGTGATTGTTGCGTTGGATCAAAAGGCGTTTAAGCGATGTTTGGAACTACACAAGCATTGCTTTGCTCTTGTTACTCAAGGACTTGATTTTCATGATGAGGCTTATTTTATGACCCATGCGTATTTGGAGATGATGTGGAGACGCATTGATTTCTTGCGTACTGTTCTTGAGATGGGGTATAACTTTGTTTTCACGGTAATAATTATTTAATCTCAGTGTTTGTTATGGTGTTCGTGGCTGTGATTTTGTTGCCTGTGTGATTTGTGTTCTTTGAGAATTAGAGATGTATTCTTGTTGAATTTTGTTTTGCTGTTGCTGGAGAACATTTATTCCGGGTTGAAATAGGTACGTTCATTTTGTAGTTAATTGGCATTGGAAAAGAAAATGTTTATGCAATGCTTGCTTAGAGGGTTTACATAAGAAATTTTAATGTTTTAAAGGTTATCTGGGCTGTCAGAGAAGCATTGGCAACCTTTTGTGAGGAAATAAAAGGAAAGAATAAGATGGATGGGATGATAAGTAATTTAATTTTGAATTTGTGCTGGAACAGGTGCCTTACCTTTTTACTGGGAATTTTTAAGCAGTTGCAAACAGCTTTTACATTACTTTGTGAAATGCAGCAGTTTTTTTATTCTTCAACCAGAAAAGGTTGATTTTTGTTTAATTGTTTTGCTGAAACTCTATAGATAGGCTGATAAGATTGAAAGAGAACAGTGCTCTTGAGGATGCTGAAATGACACTAATATGCTATTGTTTTGACCTTTTTTTGGCACACTTGTATTTTTTGTACTCAAAACTCAAAAGTTTCCGATATTGTGGTTGCATTTGGCTTTTTTATTTTTCAGAATAGAATAGCATTCTCCGTAAACATGCCGCTATTATTTTCTTTAGTCTAGGTATGCAGATACTTATTTCTGTATGCATGTTTATGTCTCTTCCTAATCTGGTTATCCTTTTCTCAATCTTCACATTCAATTCATTTGGTGGGTTTCCTCCAGGATGCTGATGTCATGTGGTTCAGGGACCCATTTCCACGGTTTTATTTGGATGCTGATTTCCAGATTGCATGTGATCATTTCTCAGGCAACTCTACTGACTTACAAAACAGACCCAATGGAGGATTTAACTATGTAAAGTCCAACAACCGCTCAATAGAATTTTACAAGTTCTGGTATTCTTCACGGGAGACCTATCCTGAATACCATGATCAGGATGTCCTTAATTTTATCAAATTTGATCCTTTCATTGAGGGCCTTGGATTAAAGATGAGATTCTTGGACACTGCTTTCTTTGGGGGACTTTGTGAACCTAGCAAGGATTTGAATTTAGTTTGTACAATGCATGCAAATTGCTGTTATGGTTTGGATAACAAGCTTCATGATCTTAGAATTATGCTTCAGGATTGGAAAAGTTTTTTATCTTTGCCACCAACCTTGAAAAGATCACCATCTGTGTTTTGGAGGGTCCCGCAGAACTGCAGGTGAGATAAGACATACGCCCTTTGCCTGTCTGATTATGATATTTTAAGATCATGTCCTTGATGGATTTTATTTCTTGTTAATTAATTGAATACAGTCTTAATTCTCTCCGTCAATATGAATCTCCGGCAAAGAGTGTTCAACAAAGTTTGCAAGAATGAGCTGAATGATATACTTTGAAGAACTCTTCCCCTTCGCTAGCAGAGTTAGAAGGTAAGGTTTCTGGTTTTAATGCATCAAGTGATGTCTTAGATATTATGTTCCTACATTTGTATGTTATATTGTTAAGTAATAAAGCATTGAAATAGCGGAAAGGAAGTATAGGAGGGATGCTTCGAAGAGAGAGAAAAAGAAAATGGACCTGACCTAGATAAATGACGAAACTCTGCAAAATATTTGAGGTTGATGGCACGATGCTTAATCCATTTAAGGCTCTGGAAAGCACAGATAGTGGGACTGTCATCTGTGTCTTACCTGATATTTCTTATACACCTCCTCTTCCAACCTGTCATCTAATAAACTAGTTTTATTGGCACCTGCCTACAGATATCCGTTTAAACTTTATAAGGTTGATATATAGTTCAAATAAATTTCCAACAGATATTCAGTAAAGAAAAGTGCATCACTGAACTTCCCTGACAACAATACTATGAAACAGTGAAATGATATAGCACTGAGCCCTTCTCTCCCTACCAACAAATTCTCTGCTGTTTAGAGTACACAAAAGCTGACCATAGAACGAAAGGACTTCAAGAGTTAGTCTACAGTCTGTCACTTCTATTATTACATACCACACATATTACACTGAATTCATCCAAAATCGATAATTGCTTGTTGTTGACAACAAAAGAATGATCAATGATCCCCACTATTCCTATACCACAATGAGACATCATATATCCTATTATAAATGGATCAACTAGTCCTACTTCCTTAATCTTGCATTCTGAGTTGAAGGACCACGAGATTTTCTGTTGCCCATTTGTTGTTTTCAGCATCCAAAAACAAATGAGGAGAAAACATGAATTAGGCAAGTAACAGCATCTTCCTCACATTCTTTACCTTAAACAAATCTATTTCACAAAATCAGCCTACCCAGTATGACATGCTCCCCAACAATGATAATTATCCACAACCTCCATCCCCCTCCACAAACAGCTAATATCCATAGCCATTTATCCAAAGGTGATTCATTTAAATAATTCAATCTCTATGACTAGAACAACTCAACCACATGCATTAAGCATATTATGAAATGCCAAATCGCAATTAATGAAGTCATCCACTCCATAGAAGAATCCCAATTAACTTTTCAATTGATGCATGGCAGAGGAGAAATCATGAATCAAAGATATAAATGCATATTTAAATTCTCGTATCTTTATAATCTAAACGAGATCTAAGTGAAAGCTTGTTTCTCTATTAATGGACACTGATGACCTTGTTTGTTGCCTCTTCCAGTTTCTTCTTTCTCTACCTTGAAATAGAATTTATCTGGAATTAGGAGGCCCTGTCTGAATCCTCAAGGCTGTTGTTGACCTCATCTTCTCAGGACCCTTACCATCTTGCGACAATGACTCTAGTGAAGAATAGTTGGTTTTCATGTTAACAGTGTGCCTGTTGTGTTGCTGTCACGTGTCAATCAGAGAAATTCTCAGGACCCTTACCATCTTGCAACAATGGCTCTAGTGAAGAATGGTCGGGTTTCATGTTAATGGTGTGCCTGTTGCCTTGCTGTCATGTGTCAATCAGAATTTCTCTCTAGTACTGACCGTACAGGAAGTTGTTACAAAAAAATGATAGTAATAAAAATTTAAGATCTTTACAGGGTCAATCTGTTTGATTAAGCTCGGAACATTTGGTTTTTTAACAGAACAGGCACTTCTTTGTTAGGAAACATAACATTTGGTTTTATAACATTATTGCTGAAACAAAATATCTAACTATTTTCTTTGTTGCATTGACAGATTTATGCTGGAGCTAAAATAATTTCATGAAGTCAGAAAAACTTCTGATGTAATTGAAACCGATCAATCCATAAGTTGGTCGTGTTATAAAATCTTCTGCCAAAATGTTGAAAGTAGAAGTATTTGCGAGGGAAGATTTCTTGTCTTCATTTGAACATTTGGTCTAAGGCGGTTCCAATCTTGTTGTTTGTTACTTGTTATCTTCTCCAGTAGATAGGCATGGGCATGTATAGAACATTGTTTTAATCATGTTTGGTTGGCTAGTCGTGATAATTAGTTAGACGTATTTCCACGCAACAGCAACTATCAGGCCGTGTTGAATTCTGTTCTTCATAGTGTTTTGTAAAACTTGATAGCTGACCTTTTTGCCTAAAGTTGGGGTTAACTGGATTATTATGCTCTGCTTAAATGGCTTGTAGTAGTATGCTGGAGGGGCAATAATATGTACCCCCTCCTTCTGAATATCGGTGTTTAGGCAAAAGTTTTGCTTTTCTGTGTTATCTCTCTGCCCCCACGATCTGCAACAAGGGAAAAATGTTATGGAGGCATGACAGCTTGGGTGGAGTAGTCATTAGCTGCAATTTTACTGGAAGAGCTATTGAAATCTGAAAATATGTTTGAATAGTGAATGACTACACAGGTGGATGATGGGAGAGGATAAATCTACGCCGTGGCATTGGTTCTTCGTGGATTGCTTCGTGAAACTTGGAAATGTGAGCTTTTAGCTTACGACTAGTAAGATGTTCGCGTGGTGCTACAGGCAGTCATAGAACAAAGGTTGATTTTTTTTTTAATTTTTTTTTTCCATATAGTTAAGGTTTTTATGAGCTTGTATTTAACAAACAAAAGTATATGGAAACAGATAGTGAGTAAAATTTAATTTAATTCGGCAAATAAGTTTTCTTGAAAATTTGCTATGCTAATTTTCCCCTTCTGTCAAACGGCATGCAATGATTGATGTGCTTACTAAATCTTTATGATTATTTAATTGTATTTCCCTACAAAAATAATTTATTCTTGCATTTAATTATACTAGTTTCTTTGTATGTGATTTGCACATTTTACATGTATGGTTTAGTTAATTTATAATGTTTTTTTTTCCGTCTAATTTCTATTAAATTGTTTATAATTATGAATAAATTTGATGTTTTTTTAATGAAATAAACAAGTTTGATTTTCAAATGATTTAATTTAAGTTTTGATAATTCTAATTAAATTATTTTTTAAAAAGTATTTGATCATATAGAATAATTTTAACTGGACTTGGGTAAAAATTAGTAACATAAATTGAATTATCTTTCAAAAATTAATAATTAGGATAAATATATATAACTCTAAAAAAAAACAATTATTAAATTTTTTCATCTAATATTATATTATTGTGAACCTTTTCTGTTTTAAACAGTTCATTTCAATTATATGTGATGTGAATATAAATTAATAATACATGCATAAATAATTTTTATAAATAATTTTTTAATAATCTTGCAATATTATTAATGTTTGTTCGAAGAAAAAAATACATACGACAATTATAAAAAAAACAATCCATAAAAATTTAACAAAGATTCCATTTAAGAACTTGATGAATTATAATGTTATTTAATTATTTTTGAATTTTAATACTTTTATCTTTTTATTGATTTGGTATTGAGGTTTTTTTTTTTTTTTTTTTGAGTTTTGATAGTCAAAATAAAGTATAAATATAATATTATATGGTTTATAAGTGATTTAAGTAGTTTATTTTATGTCATTTAAGGGTTTTTTTTTGGTGAAAATAAAAAACAATACAGAATTGACCTGTATTATAGAATTCATAATAAAAAAACAGCCCCTTTTTTAGAGAATTATAAATTTCTTTTTTAGTGTTGTATTAAGAATATAACAGTGCATCAAAAGTTTTTAAAGAGTTTGTACTTTTATATGTAGTTTAGATTTAGATTTCAGATATGCATGTGCATGTACACAAGAACCTGCAAACAAAACTACAAATTTAAACAAAAGAAATAACAAGAAACCACAGATAAATCCCCCATAACCCCTACTCAAGCCAGAGACATGTCTGAAATTTCTCCTTTCATGTCTCAAACAAATCATGTTTTTAAGAATTTTATGAAAGCTTTCAAGAATTCGCTAACTCACAAGAAATTCCAAGCAACCAACACTGCCAACACCATTTTAAAATATATATATATATAAACACAATTTTGCTTGCTGTATATGAAGTCAGCTGTCTCGCTCAGTCAGTATGAACTCTGAAGAAAACTTTCATTTAAACGTATCATGAGATTCCACGTCCTTCTACGAACTAAAAATACATAACCATCTTCCCGCAACTACTTTACAAACTACACCTATTGAACATGCTGCTGGGGGAGAGATGTTGAAGAACAGCAACATAGAGCAGAGTTGCTGTAGCAAGGTTCTGAAGGTAACTTTCAAAAATATGAAATACCAGAGAAACAAATAAAGGATTTACATGCAAGTGGATTAAAGAAGAAGAAGAAGAAGAAAAATACAACTAATATGATGAGGACATTATCTTATACACCACCATTATTGGAGTCCAATCGCTCACGGCTAACAAGAACACCCTCATCCCATGTCTCAACACACCTGTGCACATGGAGAACTGGAATGAATAGATTTTACGTACTGAAATTTTGGGTCATGCAAGTCAAAAAATTCTGATACCAGAAGTTTTCGTGCAAGTGATAAATGATAAGGGGAAACTTTCATAAAACCTTGGTAATACAGATGGACAAGAAATGGCAATAGTAAGATGCATCGACCAAATAAAAACAACGAGCAACACTTGGCTCAGAAGGACAAGCAGAAAAGAGATGCCTATGTGGTTATATTCCTTATGAGTAATTTCATGATATTGATAATAAACTGCCCTATGACACTAAGGATATCATAAAAAAGAGCTCCTCTTGAGCTCGTGCAAGAAGAGGACAGATATATCAGCATGAATGTTCCAAACTTAATAGATTGGACTTGCACATGCAAATTCTCGTGTAAATATGTAGATGTGATACTTATTCACACAATAAACAAATTCATTGATTTGTAAAACAATATGACTATGCCTGAAAATGAGAACCATTTATCAAATAGTTATTTTGCTTAACATGCCAAATCAATGTTATTGAAGATTTGTTGAAATTAAATAGCAGGAGAATTGAGTACGGACCTTGCTCCATCAACATCACTACAAAGGAACTCGCCATGTCGCCATCCATCTTGGAAATGGCCAAAAAAGACATCACCAGACTTTGAATAGAAACGGCTCTCACCATTGGCCTTTCCCTTCCAAAAGTTTGCAAACCATCGATCTCCAGTATGAAAATAAAACCAACCCTACATAACCAGAGAAATGCAGAGAAACATTCTAAACAAAGTATGAATTGCAATTATTTCCATACCAACAATGGTGATACAGGAGCTAGAACTGCAGTAGCTTGCATATAATTAGGGTTTTTCTTTGAATAGTTTATTTATCATGATAGTTTGGACAACTAAGATTTAGTTATTTTTGAGGGCTAAGATCTTTTTTATTCAGGGTTTTGCTAGTATTTAAGGGCTGTTACTACTGTAAAAAGAAACAACTTCGATATTTTGATAATTTTATAAAGAGTTTGTTCTCTTTTTCTAGCTTTTCAACCTAGACAACCAGCCATTGTCTAATTGATCCCGAGCAGTTCAATCAAAACCAAGAGATTTTGGAGTTGTGAAAGAAGCTAAACCACCTCAAGCAAGAGGTATTAACCCTGCTTGAAATTAGAGTGGAAGCCCTAAAGGAGACTTTGGAAGGTGACCGCAATCACTTAGAAATACCAGAAGGTCGTCATAAGGATCAAGACTCTTTTTGTGATGCTGGAGCCATAAACCATATGGTGCAAGGTGGATTGGAAAAGGAAAAAAAAAAAAACTACACATCAATGGAGGAAAAGAGTTGAAGAGCAGCAAGCACTATTTGTTGAGAAAGAAAAAATTATGGATTTGAATTCTTTGACAATCTATGATGATATAAATGTGGATTGAGATTCTCCACCAATCCCCAATGTTCATTGTGACAATGACCTCGATGCATAGAACAATGATAGCACTAACAACAGCCATGAAATAATAGAAACTGAATGCAAAGATTGCATCGTTATAGTTGCTCCAGAAAAGGAATTCATTGACTTAAACTATGATGATCCTTTTGACTACGTGCATTACACAAGCTATAAAATAAGCTTATACAGAGATTATATATTGGCTGCATTTGTTGATAATACAAAGTTGTACTATATCAGTTATTTCCCAAGACAACAATTGAGGGGAATAATTTGCGAGTACAAGTTCATCGTGCTAAACATGAAATAAAACTACTATTAAGTTTTGACATGAAAGGGTTGGCAAATGATTTGAACTCAAGGACGAGTTCCTTCCAATCCTAGGAGAATGATCCAGGAGCTCGAACTGCAGTAGCTTGCATATAATTAGGGTTTTTCTTTTAATAGTTTATTTACGTATTTATTATTGTCGTAGTTTGGACCGCTAGGGGCCAGGATTTCTTTTACTTACGGTTTTGCTAGTATTTAAGGGCTATTGTTATTTTAATAAGAAACAACTTTTATATTTTGATAATTTTATAAAAATCTTGTTCTCTTTTTCTAGCTCTTCAATGTAGAAAACCAGCCATTGGCTGCGTTAGCTAACGTCGTAGTTGGTCTTGATTGAAATTATGAAGCATGAATATTTTTTTTTGCAGGGACATGAACGAGAAGAGGATATAATGCATAGGCCCTCGCCATCCTCGACAATAAAAGGTGCAGCAGCAGTTCAGAAAGAAGGGCCCTATGTCAAAAGTATGAAATACATCTATGTTAGTCTTGATTGAAATTATTGGAGCACAATTTTTTCGTGGGGACATAAACAAGATGAGGATATGCACAAATCTTGCAATGCCCCAATTGCCACCCCCACCCCCACCCCCATACATCCACCCACCGTGCACAAGCACATGTGGATGCATTTTGGAATTAGGATACTCCCTCTTTCTAAAGTGACTTCCCAAGATTCCCAATGCCGTCAGAATATGTGTACCAAAAATCAACATCTCTTAGGACTAAGTTGCACCTAAATATGTACAGTTTAATCTCCAAAATACTACCAAAAGGTTAATGTTATTGAGCCATCCAAAATTAGAGATTGTAGCGTTAGAAATAAACAAGATATGGCCTTAATGCAGTCAGAAAGAATCAATTCTATCTAAATTTGACACAAAACATGGTGCCCCCATAATATGACAAAGCTGGCCATAGAAATCCTCTTAATTTGAAGATGATTCAAGTTAGAAGGAGGGGGAGGAGGAAGAAAGAAGACGACATGAGACCAACCTTGCCATGCATTACGTCATCCCTCCATGATCCCTGGAATACATCCCCATTGCTGAAGTAGAATGTACCTGGACCTGATCTCTTACCATAGCGCCACATGCCATCATACATGCTTCCATCCTCAAGGATCAGACGACCCTGCATAAAATTAACTTATTCAAATGGGCTCTGATTTCTTCTACTACAGATGAAACAAGTATCACCAGAACTGGAATTTTCTGAACACTCTAGGGCTATAGCACAGTACCTTCCCTTCTGGAAGACCTCCTTGGCACCGCCCCCTATAGATGCCTCCCCTGTACTGCATCTCCATAATGGGACTCCACTTCTTTGGTGAATCTCGCTCAGCTTCCTGTGTGAAAATCAGACAATCAGAACAGAAATAGATCAAATAATATCAATGATATAGAGGAAAGTTTCACGGTCACCAGAAAGAAAGAAGAAATGGTAAATTTTTTCGTGTTCATGGTTGCCTGTAAATATCTGTGTGAATTTATCATTTCTTTCTCAAAAATTACAGTCATCCAAATAAAGAAGTTGTGGCTTGGGAAAAAAAACAGAAGGCAATGCATGGCCATTAGCCCTTTTTTTTTTTTATTTCTTCAAAAAATTGGTTCATAAGGAACAGGTTTTTTCACCATTTTTTACACCATGGTGATGTTACCACACATGGTTTAAATGAAAGATAACCATGTCCAAGAAGACCAACCAATAACCAACTCCAACTAAACGGATGAAGTGCAACTAACAATAAATTTGTAGAATTAGTAGAAAATATAGGAGCAGTAGAGTTTCATGTTCGTCTGTTATGCAAATATATTAACCACATATTCCAATTTATAACTAGCAAATTTAGATGATAAGTCTGACATGATACTGGACAAGATTTTCCATTTAAAATTAAAGCTGCTTAAAGATTATACTCAATCACTATCATTTTCAACTTTCTTTCAGAAACAGGATCATTCCAAATCAATGCAACAGAATGTCTAGCTTCAAACAAACAGCTTTTTGGGAAATTAGAGCCCAAACCTGGACTTGCTTTTTTGTTAATCTGTTTTCAAGTGATGGAGATTACCAGCATAGATGCCGCACGAGCAGAAAGAATTCCTTGCTTCTTAGGCACATCAGCATTTTTACCCTTTGCCAGTGTAGATGCATTATTATAAAAATCCCTCACTGCTACAAAACCTGCATCACCCCAAGAAGGGTTACTTGAATTAACAAGTGTCTGTCCTTTGAAATCATCCTCGGTTTTTGGTTCTGAGAGTTCTGTGGCATATGAGATATTCAGACTGCCTTTCAATTCTGAAGGTCTTACACCGACTGGAAGTTGGAAGATGCTCATATCATCTAGCACTGGAGGGGCTCCAGCCCTTTCTTTGGCCCACTCCTGTGCAATCTGATATCCTGGCCCCAAATTCCTACTAATGAGTGGTTCCCTTTGTAAAGCAGGAGTTCCTACAGAGCATGTAAACATGGTGTCAAACAAAGAAATTTAAGACCTCAAAATTAGGTTAATCCCAGATGCTTTAACCTATTTAAATTGTGAAGTCAGTAGACATTGAAATACAACAAGGAACTTCTTGGTGCTACCTTCCAAGTTTTGATTGCAAAAATTAGAAGACTCTATCATATCTTCTAATAGGCCAACCTCGTCTTCTTCAACTCCACTGTTGTAATTCCTAAAATACCAAAAACAAAATATTAGAAAAAAATGATGGACTGTGTATGTCAGAGATATCTCAAGATAAACCAAAGCTCAAAAGCACCTTGAACTATAAATGTCACCATAATCACTGCTTGATGCCCTCTCAAGGTCCTCGGAGTGCTTATCAACACCATTGGCCAAGCCTTCTGCAGAACTTCTATTTTCCACCTGACCAGAGTCTGGTGAATCTATCACCTTGGACAGTTGTGCATCTTCCAGAACATCTCTTCCTTCGTTGCCACGCGGTTGTTGATGGGGTATCCTCAGAATTTTAAAAACAAAAGGGAAATACTGGGCCAGTCTGGAGAAAACGCTACTTCTCTGAGGAGCTTGTTGTTCAAGACAACTGGTAATCACATAAAATTTACATCAAAAATTGAGAGGAAAATGCATAACCCTAAATTAGATTTATCACCTAAATATAAACAAAAACATCACAATTAGCAATGGCACACTGAACATTTACATAGGAATAAGGGGGTGGGGGAAAGCTGAAGATAACACCAAAAGAGAAACCACAGAATTTAAATGAAATACCACACAACTAAAAGCAATCAAAGAGGTTACTAAAGCTACGATAGTCATAACTAATGTGATGCAAAATAGCTTTCTTACATTTTCATTATTTCCAGAAAAACAGTTATTACAAGGAAAAGGCTTTTACAGATTTCTCAACGTTGAGAGATTGTTACATGTTCCATAATCAAATGTCTATGCTAGAGGGGGATGAACAATAATTTGTGGCCTGAACTAACTCAATTCAAGAATGATTGACAATAATCCAAAATTTAGGTTGACAGAACAGCATATTAAGGGATGCCAACTCAACCATTGCACAAGGAGCTAACAATCAAGATTTAATCAATTTGGGTTTTTATAAGCATAGCAAGGATTCTTACCCTACAATAACAATGGTTGTTACCAGCATGTTGGGCTGCAGATTAGGCTCATGAGCTATACAACTAATGATTTCCCCCGTGTAATTTGCTGATTGACAGAAACTACGCAAAGAGGCATGTACATCTTTGTTGTCCATAAGACCTGAACTTGCAATGATGCATATAGCAATTCCATTTGAGTCCTGTGCATAACAAACAACAAAAGAATGGTTGAACATTAGAGAGCTTGCATATGCATCAAGAAAGATGGGTATCCAGTTTTCATATGTAATGCAAAATAGTTATGTAAAATATCTATCAGTGCATAAGACAGAAAAGACATCTAGGATACAAGTGCAATTAACATTTAAAACAGTTAAGGCAAAACTTTGCAAGTTCTCCACTCAAATTTGCTTTAATTATACCTCTAAACCGGCACCAATGAAAGGGCAATCATATAGAGCCTGCATAATTGAACTTCTAATGCTATGACCAGCGCCAAATCCAATTTTTGCTTCTTTGTAGCTCTCCAGTATCTGTACATTTGCATTAGCTTCAGAAGATAAAGCAGAAACATAATAAACAAAGGAAAACAAACATAATAATAATCAAGGAATGAGAAAATTTTCGATTCCCCCATCCATCTACTGAGTTCAAGCAGAATTAATAATTATACAACTCAATAATAACTCAAGGTAATTGAACAGACATAAATCATGAGTAAAAAGATAAATAATTATTTAAAAAAAGAACAAGAAAGGCAAGAACAATAATAAAAGTACGAATAATTTGCCCTAATGGGGATAGTCACTGAGACTTACTTTTATAACTTCTGAAACTTTGAGTTCTTTAACATTATTATGCACTGCATCAATTATTTTCTGGTGCATCTCCTGAAAATGTCCCAGTAATAACCAAATGAAAGGAAACGTGACATGAACGTTGATAGCCAAACAGATAGGACAGAATGCATGCTAACCGAAATGAGAACAGAGATGGCATTTATTGCCAATAAAACAGCACTGTTTGCAGACTTCAAAGCCTCCTCTAGAGTGACGAAGTCCTTTTTTAGGAGTGCATCGGTGTCAATATCTGTAATTACCCAAAAAAAAAAAAAAAAAAAAATACAAAGAAAGCTTATTAGGCTTACCAATCTCCTTGTAGTGCCAGCTGTATAAATGATGGTCTACTTTTTACATTGAGCAAAAAGTACAAGTTAATTATGACTTAGTCCCTGTGGTTTAACACAACTGATTGATTAGTCCTTACGGTTTCATATGCTATATGTTTAATCCCTGTATTTTTAAATCTGCTTATAACTTAGTCATTTCATCAATTTCATGTTCTTTTCCAATTTTTTTTTTTCTGCGTTGAAAAATAGAAAAGGAAAAAGAGAAATTGATGAGATAGGGAAATTTGATTAATAAAGAAGGAAATTTTTGAACAAAAAACTATTAAATTGAGAATGGTCAATACTGGCCAAGGAAATAAGTAATTAATTAATTTCAATAAACTATAGAGACTATATTATAATTAACTCCCAAAAATGTTTAGCAGAAAAGAGTAATGCTGTTAAAACAGTGCTTTGTTAAGTACTTCATGTGGCTGAGCAGCTTATGTTTCAACCAATTGTTACACTGAACAAAGCATAGCCAAGCAGCTCATTAATTCCCTTAAACTTGTACTTTATTTACTGGAGAATCTTACTGTGCAAGGACTCATTTCCATATCATGTTAAAGTAAACAAGATGAGATTCGCTCCTTGAATATACTCCAAAAGAAATTATTAAAGCAGACATACAAATTCAAGAGCACTCAGCACATAAGCATACAAACATATAAAGAAAATGCAAGCCTCAAGGGAAAAAAGCGAGTGAATTCCCAGAAATTGCTTTGTCCACCAGCAAATAATCAGTATTTTGCTAATGAAACAGTGACAACATGCCAGAAAAACTAAAAATAGAGGTCCACGTTTTCTTTGAAAAAATGATAAGACTGGCTAAGTTGCAGGCTCCAGAACTGACTGCCACCTCTGCAGAAGCTGCAGTATTAAACAGTTTAACCAACCTTGCAGTCAAACACCCGAGCTTATGACATGGCAAAAGAAAGGTCCATTCTATGACATGGCAAAAAGCAAGGGAGTCACAACAAACAAGGACTTCTAGCCAGTTTCATGTAAAAAGATGAGATACTATCAAAGGATATGATGCATTGCGTACCAATACAAAAATTTGTATACTCTTGAAGCTTTCCTACCAAATTTTTCACCTGTAACATGATTGACAATCACAATGCCGAAGCAAATTCTAAATCAGAAAGACAAATCGCAGAATTGTTGCTTCAGACACGCTATAAGTGAAAAGGTTATAATCTCAATAGCTAAGGAAAATCCTTATCGATGATATACCCTAGACAGGACAGAATGGAAGAAATAATTAATGTATCCAACTCCAACTAGTTTGTGAGTAAGGCTTAGTTGGGTAGGATCTATAGCCAAGAATTTGCAGTCTTTCTAATTCTTAAATCCCATGAACTGAGTCAGAAACTGAATAATAATATTCCTAAATTAAACACTCAAGTATTGATCCTAAATGTGTTTCTTGGTTCTCTATCAACAAGAGGAAGTCTCCTAATTAATAGATTGACTCCCATATCTAAAGTGCACACGAGGAGAACTCTTCATCTTTCCCAAAGGACAAGAAAACAAAACAAAACGAGGTTTCAGATGTCTTGAGTCAACAACATCCAACAAATCTCTAACCAACATAACGTAGTTTTTAGAAATTGCCTACACAAATCAATACTAATTCAGAAAAATGACAAATATTTTCAGCCCGTTATCTCCAAAAGATATTGACTAGATTAACATGACAAAATGAATAATGATTGTATTACCACAATCAGCAACAAATATACTATATTTTAAAGTATCACATGCAACTTAACATAAGATGAGGTCGTTGGGTAGCTTCCAAATTCCCTGACTATATTTTATAGCACATTAAGATGAATAGATACAACGGCAAAGAACATCTTCTAGTGGATTATCATTGATCAATATTTCTATATTTTACAGTTAACATATCTGACAACAACAGTTGTGAATTATACAAAACCTCATCTTGGCGCCTTTGTCCTTCAAAGCTGAAAGGCTTTTGAAGAATAGCAACAGCAAATCCATTCCTGGACCTTATCGATTTAAGAATATCGATTGCTGTAACATGATCGAAGCCATATCCTGCACTAGCCACCTGGGAGGGGGATGGCATTGTAAAATTTCTAGTAGAATATAAGTAACTAGAATGATAAATTTTTTCTGGTTTCTGCTTAGTCACTAAAATCAGCTCCTACCATTAAATTTTCTTCACAACCCCAGTTATATCCAAAAAAAAAAAAAAGTGCTGGCAACATAATGACATACATTATAAAGATATGCAAAAGTATTAAGAATTGAAAAGGGCATTGCAGGACTTGGAAGATTATATTTCATAGAATACACTTTCCAAACAAAATCTATTTGGACATGCTAGAAATTCTCAGTTCACATGCAGATATTTTCTGAGCATGCACTAGCATTGCTTTCCCTTCTCAACAGAGTTGCACAAATACTCCAATTGAGAAGATAATATTCTAAAGTTGGGAGCTTCGAATCTCTTCCTATTTCAGTAGGCAGTGATGAAGCATTTATGAGATTAACACCAGATAATCCATTCAAGAAGCTAAGATCCGGATGCAGAATGTAAACATGATAAGGATTTAATCAATGTGACAAATATTCTAATAACAACAATGATGCTTATTGTGGTTCATTGATGTGCAAGTCGAGAGAGCATTAGATACTCTCGATGCATTACTCAGGATGCATTGCTCCCCAACCACATAAAAGTGGGACACATTTGTAGTTATCACGGTAGTTCCTCTTTTTTTGTGAGGTGGGAGCTCTGAGAGTACTTTAATAATTTCTCATGTAAGTTTGTCTTCATATATACACAAACATTACTTAAGTTTAACATATAACAATTTAATCAGACTAATAGCAACCCCAAACATAAGAGAGTGATAGTTAAGGAATGTACAAACAAGGATAATGGCCTTTGAGCGGAACTTTAGAAACTGTGAAACGTCCATAACCCTTGGATTAATATCTGCTTACATTCAGAAAAGATGAACACAGAATAGGATTATTCTTCTTATTTTGTGCAACAAAAAAAGTAGTACCAACATGAGAAAATTAGAAGCACAAACCTTTTTCGAGAACCCTTTCTTGCAATTGAACATTGATGGAATCTTTGGTGTGAATATTCCTGCCAGAAAATAAAATAATAACTATAATAAAGAAGTGCAAAAACATCTATAAATAAAATAAAATAAAATAAAGAAAGAACAGCGGGGATACCAAAATCGGAGGAGCGAAGAGGATAACTGGAATGGCGAGTCGAAACAGAAATCAACGATGGCGTCCTTCCTGCTGCCAATGCTTATTACATCAACGAACTCGCCGGATTGTTCTCCTCCCCAAAAATTAACGGTGTCACTTTTAAAACTCAACGAACCATCATTATCCTTCTCTGAACTCGCTCTAACTCGAAGACCAAAACGCTTATTGCAATTCAATTTCTTACGAAAAAAGCAGCAGCGATACAAGTAGAAAAAGGTTTTCGAAGATAGAGAAACGCGAGAAACGGAGTGAAAGCTCGTCGATACAGGAATCTCCATTGAAACGGACTTTTTTTTTAAAAAAAGAATTTATTATATTTATTTATTCATATCAGTGAGAAAATGAGGGTGGAATAGAAATGTTTGTTTGTTATCCATCCAACTCAACTCCACTCAACTCGAGAGGGTGGAATAGTCTTGTATTGCTGCAAGACTAAGTGGCTTCCCTTTCGGCCCGGTTTCAATACCTGCTTGGACTTGGACCTTGGCTCGGTTCTTTAAAAACTAGGCGAAAACTCAATTAGTCCCTCAACTATATCTTCAATCTCAATCGGGTACCACGCTCATAAATTTTCTCAATTTGTTTTCAAATGATTCAGATAATTCTCAATCAGGTTCTTATGTTAGTGTTAATTAGCTTTTACGTCAAGTATTATCCAAAATGATGTTCTTTTATTCAATAAAAATATGCACGATAAATTGAAAACAATTAACAAAAAATTGACAAAAGGACCTTATCAAGAAATGTTATCTGGCACCTAATTAACAAAATTTATAGATTTAAAATCCAATTAGCAATGGGTGTATAAGTTGAAGACTAAATTGAGGCTTTTTTTTTTTTTTTTGAGAAATTCAGATTGTATTTTTATCCGAGATAGAAAACTTGTTTATTTTAAATTTTTTTAGCAATGGGTGTATAGCTTGAAGACTTAATTTTGATTCGCGTTCACAACGAACTTAAAATACGAGGTTCAAGCTCGGTTTATCTCAATTTCGTTGTACTGAAGTTCACATCATCTCAAATTTATTTATTTAAATAATTTTTCACTTGTTTGCCATATATATATAAGTATTTATTTTTCATCAATATAAGTGTCGTGACGTATGTTTTAATTAAAAGAATTAAATAAACAACAATCAATTAATATTGTTTTATGGAATCTCAATTTCTTAGTCTTCTCTACTTTCCCACTACATAGAAATGTCTAATTATCTAGTACGGTATATTTACAATATCGATATCTATCTTTATTTTAATGATTAATTAGTTGATATTATAAAATCCTCGAACTAGGACGTAAATAAGTTGAAAGTATTATCGACATTAATTTATATTTTAAATGCAATGAATGTAAGCCACCAAGTTTTCTTTCTTAACATTTTCAAATTATTAGCAAAGTGGGCATTTTTTAAAATTCTAACAAAATGATAGTTTTCGTACAAAGTCCTTAATAAATAAGAAATAATAGATCCACGTTAAATAAAACTCGGGTATAAAATTGTTTGAAAATTCAAATAACATCAATTAATATTCTTACATATAAAGCTTTGGTTCCAAATTAATTTAAACTAATGTATAAAACTAGTTCATTAAATTCATTTATTCATTATTCATTAATCTCATTTAATGACTTAGTCTTCCTTTAGCTCTCTACTTTTTACCATTAATTCTTTAACTACTAAATTAAATAATCATCTACTTAAGCCTTCATTTTACTTTTAGTTAATTCGTTCATTAATCAATTAACTCCTCTAGGCCATTCTAACTAATTAAATAACTAATTAATTCATCAAGTTAACCAATGGAACAACACTTAACGTATTGCCTTTATTAAGCATTCAAACTATATCATTATTATTACAAACTAAAATTGCTTAACTTATTACCAATATACATAACCAAAGATTAAGTTAAGCAAAGATGAGTTTTTCTCTCTCATTTTTACATAGTAAGCATACACATGGCAAGTTCTCAATATTTCTCGGTGACGATCCACGTTCATTTTTCTTTTTTCTTACACCATAAGAAACAAAGGTGAGCGATACTCGGTAAGTGTAATCCATGCAATGCATGTAATATACGTGATGCATTTTAAAATCATTTTCATACCTTTTAAAATTCATTTCCTCTTTGGGTGCACTCGTCAATTGTGTATATAATCGGCCCTCTTTTAAAACATGCAATTGTGAAAAATTCACAAAAGCACTAGTTACATTTCTATAACATTTTTCTTTACATACTAAAAGTATATATCGGATCATTCCCTTTGCATGTCCTCATTTTTCTTTACATGCTAAGAGTATACAATAGATTATTCCCTTAGTGTGTCCTCATTTTCCTTTATATGTTAAGATTATACACCGGATCAATCTCCTGGTATGTCCTTTTCCTCGAGAGAGGGTGATCATTCCTCTTCCATAACCTTAAGAAGGTAACTAGTCATTCCTTTATGAAAACTTTTCTTTTTCATTTTCCTTTCATTAAAATCATGAATGTAAAACTTTTTTCATGACTTATGATTTATGCTATGTAAATGCATTTAGTTAAATGCAATGCATTAATATAAATCTCAAGTTGCATGCTTTCAAACCTCAAGAACATGTAATATAAATAGTATATCAAATACATATTCCACGTAAGTCAAGTATGCATGCAAAACATGAATAAACAATGAATATAAACAATGCCTTAAAATACATCATGGCTGAAATATTTAAGCAACAAAACTAATTCATTTTTCACACGAGTGCAACCATTTTTCATTCTATTTTATACCTTTAAACCTCAAATTAACCTATTATTCGTTTGTTTCCCATTCTTGGACAAAACTAGACCAATTGAAGGACAACTTTCACTTCATCATTTATCTCAAATTTTCATCTCTAACCTCTTAACATAATATGTTTTTCATCATGTTAACATCAAGTAGGTTAAGTGATCAACCAATCTAAACTTCTTACTTGGCCAAAATTCAAGCATAAAGTGACCAAGTTTCAATGTTTATAATTTAACACCATAAACACTCTTAAAGCATTCCATCACACACCTTGTAAACATTAAGTTCTAAAACCACTAATTTATTCATATTTTAGGGTATTCAACCATCTTATTCTAAGAATAAAGTCAACATCAAAACACATTAATTTAGTCTTATTGATCATCCTTATATTACAATTCTAACATCAAAATCATATATGCATCATTACGATCATCCAATTCAAACAACAACAGAGTATCTCCAAAATTCAACCACTAAACCTCAAGCAAATAAACTTCAAATTAACATAAAATACACATTAAAATCTCTAGTTTCTTATGGTGTAGTGAGGATTACACTTATCTCACTTGAAGTTTGGCTAATAACGATTAAACCTCAAGCAAATAAACTTCAAATTAACATCAAATACAAATTAAAATCTCTAATTTATTATGATGTAGTAAGGATTACACTTACCTCACTTGAAGTTTGACCAATTTTCCTCTTTTCCTTTTTTTTTCTTCCTCTTCTTCCTTCCTAAAAATTTTAACCCAAATAGTGCTTTCTCCTCCTTCTTTGTTTGATATTCTAAATTGATTTTGAGGTTGTTTTAAAGTGTTTCTAGGCTAACTAAGGTGGTTTAGAGTGATAGTTTGATGGTTTTCTTCTTGGTTGGTGTAGTTCTTTCTTTAGGGGTATTTGAATATCTATGGCTTGTAACCCTTCTTCCATTTCTTCCTTCCTTTTTATAGCCATGGTTTTCCCTTTAAGATTAAGCCAAGGGTGTCACAATTGGTTTAATCTTAAACTTCGTAATTAATGGCTTCTAGATTTTTTTCTTCTTCTTCATCTTTTTTCCACTTTCGCCTTATATATTTTCTTCGGTTCTTCCTTCTTTGCCACCTCTCTTCTTCTCATTTTCTCTCAAATTTTCCAGAATTCTCTAACTGAAGTTGCTCCCTAAAAATCAATTCAATAAGTCCCCTAAAATGTCATCACTTTACATTTTAGTCCCTAAAACTTTTAATCTTTGCAATCGACCCCTCCAATTTCAATCCATAACATCATAATTTTCCTCAATTTAACCCCTATCCTAGGCCTTTTCCAAAGGTAATTTAAGTCCCTAAAGATGTTTAATCATTTCAATCAAGTACCTAAACTTTTGATTGTTATGATTATGCCTTTAGGTTTTGCAATCGCTTCCCTAGATTGAAACATAATCATCATAATTGATATTTTCAACCTCTAATTCATACTTTAATTAATTTCTTTACCTTTCAATTAATTCATCTAATTTCCATAATAATTACATTTGCATTAATTTTATTCTTATCTATGCATAATTTTTCAATACTTGCTTTAAATAAATACTCATACATAAATTAAATGAATAATTCTTACAAACAAAGTTATTGTAATCCTTTAATTCACACCTTAATTAATTCATTCACTTTTCATTTAATTCATTTACCCTCCATAATAATTATGATTACTTTAATTTATTTTTTATTTAAGTATATTTTATCAATCCTTATTTCAAATAAATATTCATCTATTAACTAAATAAATTATTCTTACAAACATAATTGCTCTTAAGGAGGTTTTTAGGTCAAAGATATTACATTGCTTCACGTTGTGTGAGATAATCCAATTTTAAAATAGTTAAATAATTTTTATATAAAAATTCATATGTAATTTAAAACAATTGACACATATATCCATCGCAACTTATAATGTACGTGCTCAATAATTTTTATGAAATAAATATAATTCTTAACATGAAACCTAAAAGTAAAGAAAAGAACACACATTTTACTATAAGAATACAAATATAATACATGACAATAGACACGTGTGCTATATGGTTGATCTACCGGGAGGAATGGAATTTTTTTTTTTTTTTGTAATTATCTAGTAAAATCATATTAATTAGCTATGTTTATTAAAATCACTTAGATTGTAGCATTAATTAATACAATTATTTAAATCACAAATAAAAATAGAGTGAATTTTAGAATGAAGTTGATTGCACAATAATAATGTTTGGCTATGAATTAAATAAGAACATCGATCATACTTGACTTTATTTTTGCTCTTCTTAAAAAAAATTGATATATGGTAATGAGAAAGATGAATTCAATTACACAAAATTGTAAACCAATTAACATATTCCACATTAGTTATTAGAGTGACATAAAATATGTAATTTATTTTCCTTAAACCATAATTGCTTAAGGGATTATGCCAATTACATGATCATTGTATTTTTTAAATTGTTTTGATCACTATCGAAAAAAAGAA